GTCCCTCCCTAGGCAGGAGCAGGGGGACCCCACTGGTGTGTGTGTCCCTCCCTAGGCAGGAGCAGGGGGACCCCACTGGTGTGTGTGTCCCTCCCCAGGCAGGAGCAGGAGGACCCCACTGACCGCTGGTCGCTGGGCTTTGTCCCTCCTGGGGAGCTCCTGCCGTGCTCGGTGGCCCTGGGCTGCTGCTCCTGGCTCCCTCCAGTGCCAGCCCCAGGCTCTGGAGCTGTGCTGCATCCAGGTGCTCCCGCTGCCATCCTGTCACCACGGCGGCGTTCTCGGGGCCCAGGTTTGCTATTTGCTCTGGGGACAATGCCTGAGAGGAACAAAAGACAGAAAAATTGCTTTAGGCTGTCAATTATAGAAGGCAGGTAAGGAATCAGAAGTCAGCACTGCCTTGCATTTGGAATGAGGGACATTAGCCTTCAACATTGTGTTGCTATAAAAGAGCTCAATAGAGCTTAAAAGAATCCTCTGTATTCATTTGCTTCCCTGACCACTCATCTATCTGTCACCTTTCTCTTTGATGTTGGAAGCTGACAGCTTGAGAAGCTTTCTATGCCAGCACTGTATTGTACACTTCTTCAATATATTGTTGAAGTTTAATTTTCCAGCCATTTCTTTTCTGATTTGTTCAACCTCTTGTGTTTTCATTTATTTCCTCTTATTTCTGCTCCCAAGGAACCTCGCTTGAACTTACATTTGACCTTTGATTATAGTTAGCAGTAGAGCAATGAGATGAAAAGACCCCATGCTTTAATCTTATTATTCAATTTTCTCTTTTAGATTGAAAATCTTGCCAGTTTGTTCATATTAAATTTAAAAATTAAATATGGCAATCATAATCTTACAGTAATTATCTTATATCATATAGCAATTAAGCAGTTTGTAAAGCTTGCATTATTGAGCAGGCTGGTTTGCTTTAGTTCTAGTTAACATTCTGCAGTCACAAGCATTTAACCCTCCTACACAACAAGCCTTTTCTCTTGCAACAATTCTGCATCCAGGTTCTACTTTGGAAAGACAAAATTCCCTTTGCAAGTAGGTCAGATGATGGAGCAAACCCTTGCCCATTTTTCATTGTCTAGCAAATGGTGTGCTGGTTTAAACTCAGCAAACTCATGGAAATGCCTACAGGTTCAGACATTCTGAATTGAACATCTTCTTAACTCACTTGAAGTACAAAATACAATGTAATTTTTCATAAATCAAAATCTGAATAATTTATACAGCTGCAAAATGAGGCCATAAAAAACCGGTGTAAAACCAAAGTCTTGTGTGAATCTTTCAAATACAGAAAACTCTTCCAAAGAGGTACTCTGCTTTTCGTTAATCACTTGTTGTAGTATTATTACTACTCTTGCTAACAAAAATGTTGTTTGTTAGGAACTCTACAAGATGATATAGAGCTGTTTTGCAAACAAATAGTTTCTGTAATGAGATTTTAGGCTTATCTGAACTGTCAGTGGTACTGTGCACAGTTAGTGCTCAAGGAATTTTTCCTTTTTATAGGAGCTGACACAGTTAAGTCTCTGTTTAGCTCAATGTCCGTAAGTACATTGCTTGCCTGAGCATCTGAAAGAGACCAGCCCAGGCAGAGTTTTAATCTTGTCACTAAGTCAAAGAAAGTCAGGGGCAATGATCTCAGGATCCCTGTTCTAATTTCTGGTCCACATTGAGTACTGCTGTAATTAGATGTAATTCCTTTCTGATCTGTATCTGCCTGCACAATCTGTTTTTCAGAGCTAACTTGGGAGAATGGTGCCAGATTTTAGGTTAATAAAACAGCTCTTGCACACTCAGCAGAGAAATCTGTAGCTATTACAGCATCCTCTCAAATGTTAATAAACAGAGACAAAAATTCAGATCTGAATCAAATGTTGAAAGATACAGTGTCTATTCCCTGTTTTGTGATACTTGCTATTTCTTTGGGATGCATTCTGAAGGATGAATAAAGCTTGTCTAGCATGTTTCATGGGCATCACAAATACAGATGATACAGCTGAGAGTTAATGTTCCAGATCCTTGATGGTCTCTCACTTGACAGACCATAGAATTTTTTTTCCAAAACCTATAAATCAGCGCTGCAGTTTATTTATACCAGAGTAAAAACAATAGAAATTTAGTAACTTCTTCAGTAATCAAGCTCTTACTTGGAAAATTTCAGGAGGTATATGTCTTACTGCTGATGGCTGGATATATGGCATCAAGCTTTTATCAATGGCTTTTAATTCATCCTCATTCAAACCACCTAAAAAAACCCACAGAATAGAAACAAAACTCAATTAATTTTATTTTTATTAAATTTATTTTTAAGGTAATATAAACTTAAAGCACTTATAAAAAATGTATAATAAATGGTTTATTCCAGGTTGTTATATAGAGAGATGCTGGTTCTTTCTGTTTTGATTCTTTCATTATATTTCAGCATTACAAATTCTCTGACCTTAGCCACTGACATGGAATGTACTCTACCTGAATTACTTTATCTTGGAAAAGTAAATTATAAAAGCCTATAAAATCATAAGCAATGTTATCAGGGAATGCTCATTCAGAGTCTCTTCTGATCCATGTTAGGGAACATAATCATGCAGTAGGAGTGACTTCTTCACGTGGGGAATCATTGTCACAGGCATTGGGGATGCTAAAAATGATGAGGGTTCAATGTGCAGTTAAATGATAACAGGGAAACAAATCCAGGAACAAAAGTGGGAGTGACCTCTGGCTCAGGAGGTCTCAGAGGCTGCAAGAGCCCTCTGAAGTATCTGGAGAAGCATCACTCCAGGCCAGCCCTGCCTCCCTGGGCAGCCCATTGTTTCCAGGCAGGATCTCTGGGCAGCCAGAGCCAGCTCCTCCCAGGACAGCCTGGCTCACAAAGAGTGACTGGGGCTGCAATCCTGAGAGGTTTTGCCCTCCTTGATTGACCCTTTCCAAATTACAGGACCCGAGTAACTTCAGGCTGCGCTTCCCAAGGTCAGTTTGAGCAGATTTACAGAACCTTACAGAGAATCCCATGACTTTTCCTCAGTGCTTCTGAAATTGCTGGATGCCTGTCCCTGCAGGTGACTCCCCTCTGGAAGGAATGTCTTTTGCCAGCCTGCAAAAATCCCCAGCTAGGTGAACCCATCTCCTAATAGCAATGCTTCACAACCAGCACCATCTGGAGCTGTAGCTTTGTTACCTGCTATAGTACCAATTTCCTGTAAAACAGAGCCATTCCAGCTGGGAGCAGCCCCAAACACAGATTCTGTCATCTTCTTAAACTGCCTCAGAACAGGGGTGCTGCAGAACAACAGCCCAATTCTTGCAATTGCAGCACTGCAAAAGGCAACAAGGGCATCATTACAAGCTGCATTTACATGGGGTACTAAATAGGCCTGGAATATACTTGAGCCTGCTGTAAGAAGACCGTAAAACCCATTTTCAATTTAAAATATATGTGCACAAATTGCATACAAATATTTCAGGTTTTAAGCAAAAACCTGTATTTCTTGATGAAATACTTAAATGGTGGGATACAAATGGCAGAGGAAAACTATAAAAGAACACACTTTAAACAACTGCTGCATGCCTTCTGCTTTTCTAAAAGCATTTAAAATGTGAAAAGGTGCCCTTTAGGCTCTGAAAATCTTAATGGAACAAAAATGGCACAATATATTTTATCAATAGAGCTACTAATAAATATTTCATTAGATATAAAATGCAGTACCTGAATTCAGCAGTCCTTATGGATGTGATTTCTGTGGAGTTCAAAGTACAGAGAACAGCTCCTAATCCAACTAAATCAAAACTTTTTAATGTGCTGATGGTCTGGCCAGAGTCGTCCAGAAAACCTTGTAAAATAGCTCTTGCCTACAAAAGCAGTAAGATAGTATGCATGAACAGGGTAAATACAATTGAAAGGTTTGTTACTAGATGATTAAAATCTTATCAAAAGTGATGGAGCATAAATACATATCCTGAGCCTCTCCAGTGTATGGTCATGGCCTTCAGGAGGAGCACTGTCACCACCTACATGTGACACTAAACCAGGGCACCGTTACCCAACCACCTGCTAAATGCAAATGGTGTGAACACACTCTGTACTTCTTCTGCCAGGTCACAGGGAAAGCCTTCCCCACAAGAAATGGTGCTGGATTGGCTCACAGGATCACTTACATTGCTACAAGAAAACATAAAATACCTAAGGGGATCAATATGTAATTTTGCTATTTTTAATCCTCAGGATGACTTGTCTTATTTAAGTGCCATAGATGAGTGGTGACCTGTGTCAAGGATTAATTTTCAGATATGAATGGGATATTGGTACCAAAGTGCCTTTGCAAGCCAAAGTAATTTAGGATGGTGCTCATTTTAAACTAATCCTTTAAAAACTGAGCCCATCTCAAGCATGTCACCAAGGCATCCTCCAAAGCCAGTGAAAGAAATAATCATCTTCCAAGACTTCCTAATCTATCCACAATGCTGAGCTTCAAATAACTAGCTTAACTAGCTGCCAAAGTTTTAAGACAACTGAAATTCAGCAGGATGAATCTCTTTTAACTAACTACTTTTACTGACAGCAGGAAACCTCAAAAGCAAACTGGTGCTGTATGAAATCCTCCCAAGTGCCTCCTTCTTATGGTGCCCCCTCAGAACATGAATTTATTAAACTGATTTGTGATATTCTGTCAGAACTGCCACCATGCCAGCATCTGTGCAGTCACAGAGCCCTGACAGGCCACAAAGTCAGAAATATGCTGCCTACTGCATATGTAAATAAAAGTTTTTAACTCTTATTATGAAAGTCCCATTGACATAATTAGAAGTTATTCAAGGAAAGGAACATGAGAGGAGTGTAAAGGGCTTCTAGGGCAATGGAAGCTGGGGCTGGGGACACTGTGCAGTCTGTGATTGTCCTTAGGAAGGCCCAGTACTCCCAGCAGGAGTGTCTGTTCCAGGGACAGTGTGAGAGGAGCTGCTCACCTCCTTCCACTGCTCAGTGGACAAGTGCTAAAGAACACACTCATCCCCACCCCAATTAATGATTGATGCTGCCTTGGCCACCTCCCCAGGGCAGCCCCAGCCAGGCACACGCCAGTGCTGACCTTGTGGCCACTTTCACTGGGGTCAGAGTGCAGAGAAGCAGCAGGGACTAGTGTGGATCCCTGGATCTATTTTCTAGGCAGTTCCAGGACCCGAGTCCCAAAGGGCATGAGTGCAGAGCCTTTCACCAGGAGTACATTCAGGAGCTCCCTCTCACTCACCTGGGTAAGAGTCCACCCTGTTTGCTGAGTAAGAGCAGAGACGCTGTCGATGGAGCTCAGGTCCAGCTCTGCGATCTCCTGGGCACTGAGTGCCAGAGCAATGCGGCCCAGGGAGATGATCTGGTAACTCCTCCAGTCTGGCAGCAACCCCCAAACCTTTAGATGAGAGCCATTCATATCTGTCATTCATATCTATCTGACTCTTCCTCTATATACACCATTCTCAAATCCTTTGGTTCAAAAGTCCTAAAACCTGAATATTCCTCTTTGCACACAAAAAGCAGAGCTTAGGTATTGTGAAGGTTTTTGAGGTTCTACACCAATAACGATTAGTTCATCTAAAAATACGGCAATTTTTACAGCTTGGACTTGTTGATGAGTCAGAATATGAACTGTTGGAAGTGTGGCTGTAGGAGCAAAACCACTAAGAACAATAAAAATGGGAATCTGTGCCTAGGTCCACACTGTTACACTGCCAAGAAAGCAGCACCTGCACTACCCAGGCTTCTTCCCAGCTGCAATTGCTCCAGAGGAGTGACTTTAAGTTGCTTTTGTGACCAGTCACCCTGGCTCAGTCACTGACAAGGAAAGACAAAGCAGAGAATCAAGTAATACAGACAAAGAGCCAGTTCCAAAAGTCCTGATTTCTAGATGGTGTTCATACAATGTTAAAATAAAACATAACTTTAATGCATTTGTACAAATACAGTTAAATTTGTAAAGCTTTGTAAAAAAACCTAAGGAAATAAACAGGGGCTCTTCTGAACCAGTACCAATGTATTTAAACTGACAACTTCCCCTGCTTTTAACTTTATTTGTGATAAAGTCACAGTGATTGAAAAGCTGTCACTGAACAGCCTGAAGGAAATTTTGGTATAAGGAAAAGTTCTGCCTGAGTAAAGAATAATAAAAGTCCATCAAGAGCTGAATTTTCAGAGACCAGAACTATCAATTACATTTTGTGACAATGGTAGAAGACTGTAGACAGTGGTCAGTACCTCCCCAGATGTGGCCAATTGCCTTTACAGAAAAAGACACTGGGTTTTGGCTGGAGGAAGAGACTTGAACAAGCCAGGCACACATTTTTAAAAAATGCCCACTTTAAAGCTCTCATGTACTTCAGCAACTCTGCTTTGTGTCAGTGAATACATGACAGGTTTCTAGTATAACATCATGCTGCTAACAGCACCTGGAAAATTAAAACTAAAAGCTCAAGGCTGGGCTACCATCTGAGTCAGGAAAATATTTTTGAGATAGCTACAATTTGAGTTTTGTTCAAAAAGTTAGAAAGGACAAAGCTAGTGGGGACTTGCTGAAGAGCATCTCTGTAGTTGCCTACTGAATAGTGTTTGCACCATCAGATAGACATGGAGCTGCACAACCTCCAGAAAATATCAAAGTAGAGCTCAGGAATCTGGATGTGTGAAATCAGGCACTCCTTACACAGAGCTGCAGCTCTCTCTGTGCACATCCAGCACAGAGCAGCCTCAGCTGCCAGGGTGCTTTTCCCAGCTGTGACCCTCAGGTTAAGGATTTGTTTAAGAGATGCATTGCTGGGTTTGTACCTCCCAACTGAGTTTCCACCAGATCTTTTATGTTGTTTTTACAATGTCATAAAGGGTCTAAGTCTGGGAAATGTCAATCTTTTCCAAAGCAAATAGACATTAAAAAGTATTAGCCCAATTTTAAAGCTTTTAATTCTCTAGCTTAAGAGATACATGAAACACATGCAGGCAAAAATGCCAAGTGTCTGTTTCCTGATCTAGGCCATAAAGTACAGAATTTGAAGTACTTCATAAATAGTATTATCTGACAGGGGTGGGTGAAATCTCAGGCAGAAGGATATAAATAACACAACACACGAAACTGAAACACTCCTTTGTCCTCATTCACCTAGAACAGATCCATACAGCTGTCACTGCTGCAGAACTGGGAGACCTTCCACTTCCAAGTGAGCTAAGCTTCTTATTTTCATTAAGATACAATCTGATAACTAGACTTTTTGAATTAGTTTGGAACAATGAGTAGTTGAGGCTTAATGAAACCTTTAATCAAAAATGTTAATAACATAACAGCATCTATGCATATAATTTGAAAGAGCTTTGCCTGTCCTGTCTCATTTCTCGTGCTTCATGCTCAGTGTAACACCACACTGCATTTTGAAATGAATATATAGGAAGTCTGTCTTTGTCTAGGAGAAATCTGCACAAACACTCACAGACAATGTACTGCCATTCAGTGCACTACAGATCTGTGAGTCTTTGAATACAGCCAGAGATGTGAGTGTATCAACCTTGTTTGCAATTTCCCTACAATTGATATCACTCTGTAAGCACACCAGTATGTTACATTGCTGTAAATAGCAGTTTTCACTATGGCAGGGGAGCACTGTTTTTATTTTCTTCTAGGATTACATTTTCCCCCTTTTCCTACCCACCTGTCCATGCTGACAGAGGGAAGCTGACTTGGGAAGAATACATTTACTGCAGTTGTCCTCCTGCAACAAGGCAGCAGAGACACGACTGCAGAGTCACCATCTGCTTTCAGAAATCTGTGCAGTGCCACTTCTCTTCAAGCTCCTGCAGTTCCACTGCTTTAAAAGCTGAGCTTCACTGCTAAAAATTGCCCAGTTGGCCTTATTTACCCCAAATCCATGGTCAGCTCCACTACTGGCTGCAGCTGCTGGTTTGAGGAGATGCTGCCCAGCCCATGTGGCCCCTGGTCCTGCTTTCCTCCAGAGGTCACAGCCCTCAGGTCTCCAAACCTCCTGCACTCTGTCCTGCTTGCTGCCAACTGCAACTTGTAGATGCTTCCCAACCTCATTCTGTCAGAACGATCTGATGGAACCTAAAAAGGGCTTTTACATGTTGGATCATTTTGACAGAAGGGGATTACAGAGTGGCCATGCAGAGATGGAAGCAGAGAACAGATAACCTCCAGCAGATGCTGCTGACAGGAAGCTGAAGCCAGGCTGGGGCAGCACCCTCTTCACCTCTGAGTTTTCTGCAACCAGAACAATTTGTCTTACTGCACCCTAAGGCCTTTTCTTGCTGAACTAAAAGTATGTTTGGGAATTTGCCCATTCTCTGGCAGTGCAGGCAACCACAAAGCAGCAAGAGGAGGTCACCCCAGGGAGAAGAGCAATAGCAACAACAGGGGTGGAGCACAGTCTGACCTCTCTGCCAGCCCACTGCGTCTCAGGCAGGGCTGCCCAGAGCTCTGCTGGTGCCCAGGCCCAGGCCCAGTGCTGACCTGCCCCAGCACAGCCCTCTGCCCAACCGTGCTCCTGGGAAAGACAAAATGTAGGTGGGGTTTTCCCTCCCTGAAATTTCCCACTGCTGGGTCTGTCCCTGCCTGTGAGAATGTGGAAAAAGGAGCTTTATTCAGCTCCTTTCAGTCAGTTTGGGTTTAACCCTCTGGAAGCTATATTTAGCATCCACATAGACAGTTTAACATGCCAAGCTTAATTCTCAGCAGGGCAATCAACAGCCCCTAGCACTGCTGCCTGATTTTTCATTTGTGAAAGGAAAGTGAGAAGCGAGCAGAAAAGTAATTCAAAAGTAAAACCACTTCACTTTTCCAGCTGACAATAGCTCAGAACTACTTGCCTGTTGACTCTAAAGCAAGGGCAATAGTCTTCTATCACCACCTCACATTATTTTTCCAATAAACCATAGATATTCTTGTGGCAGTAGTGACATTGACATAGCACAGTTATTTTAGAACTGCATAGTTCAATAACACCAAATCAAATTACAGATTTAATTTTCCTTCACAGACAGGATAGTTACCTGCTTGGCTTTTTCCTTCAAGACAGTCAGCTGGGAGCTGTTAAAACCTGAGACACCCCCAAGAAGTTCCACATTTTTGTCAAAAGTCTCTGGATCCATGCATTTCAGTTCCTGAACTGACCAAAAGACATTTGCTTCTCCTAATTTAATAATTTCATTTGAAGAAGGAGCTCTGGTTCTCAGACAATCTGAAAAAGGTCAAATAGTAAGAGTTTTCATCAAAGAGACAACAAAATAAATCAAAGCAATATTGATATTTAAGAGAGCAACAGACTATGAAAATTTATTGCTGCTGATGTGATATTGATAAATTATTTTGTAATTGAAGAATTTAAAAAATATTTCTATTATTAATGTTCTGGATATAAACTACCAGTATCTTGCAAGTTTCTTTGAAGTCTAATTCTCTAAAGGCACCAAAACCCAGGCAAGGGCTTGTTCTGAGTTTGAGCCTCCATTTGCTGGGAGCCTTCATTCAACAGGAGTGAAATGCAAACGTTTGGGATGACCCTGGTGGAAATTCACCAAAAAGAGCCTCAGCTGAATAAACATCACATTCAAACATGGATCCAACTCAACAAGAATGGAACAGACAGGAGAGGTCTGGGCACTCTGCACTGCCTGATAGAGATATATGTCTTGTAAGACTTGTCTGACATTTAAACAAGGTGAAGACAAGCTGGATGTGTCAGAGAGCACGGTGCTTGTTGGTTATGTCAAGCCTGTTGTTAAAATGTCAGGATCTAGAGAGGGCTGCACACTCACCACAGCACTGTTTGGACAGACCAACTGCCTTTAAAAATCTTATTTACAGTCAGGTTCCAGGCCTATGCATTATCAAACCAGACAGTTTCCATTGTGTGTTTTAACAAATCCTAGTCTTTGTTGACATAATCTACCTCTAATGTTGATGGAAAGCAGAAATCAGAATCCTAATGTGGTTGTTTACTGCTCCCTCTTCTGTCACTAATTTAGAAAAACCTTATTAAATAATTATCTAAACCAAATAATCCCTACATGGCTTTGGATACAGTCATTACCAGTAAAAAGCATGAATTTCACAGATGCTGTGCCTCAGCTAAGCCCCCCCAGATAAATAAATTAAAGTGAGGATGTACAAAGTAGATTTGTACTTTGAAAGGAGGCAGAGGAGGGATTTATTTGCATCAAAGGAAGCTGCAGTAGTGGGTAGAACACTGAAAAGATTGAATCTGTTGAGCAAATGAAAATGCTGCTCAGCTTCCACTGTACCAGCTGATCTTCTGCTCTCCCTTTACCTCCCTCTTGTGAAGCTGCATTGTTTCCCTTTCCCCTGCTGCACAAGGTCAGCTTTTCTCATGGAAATACTGCCCATGCAGACGGTGCAGCTCCCTTCCCCAAGTCATGCAAACCTAAGACTAGGTGCCCTTGAAAAAAACCCATTGATTTTATAATTTTTAACACACCAGATACACTGATGCAATTAAAGAGGGAAACACTAATTAGATTTTTGACCTGATGCCACTTTGCTGTTCCTTTTGCTATATATTTAATTTGATGAAAAAAAAAAAAAGATATATATACACGCACACATTATAACATCTCAATGCTTATGGTGAGAAACCTGAATTTTTTCTCCAGCACTGCTGTTGCCCTCTGGTAGCATCTCAGACACACAGCTCCCTAATTTTGCTTTTCATGTTCCATCTTGCCTTAAGCACCTTAAAACCTGTGCTTTTAATCTTGATATAGACATAGATGCAAGAAGTCTGTCACTGGTAATTGCTACTGTTATTTACATTAGCTCACAACTAATGGTCCGTGAGAAATGCAAAATAGTATTGGTGGCATGAAAAGCTTTAATGTTATTCTGGAGTAATTTTCATAATACCCAATTTTTTAGTGATTTACAAATCACTAATTAAACTTCATTCCTTACTGAAACCACTGTGTGAGTTGTGTGGAGCTGATTAGATTGTTTGGTAACAGAAGTTCAATACCATGTTTGGGCTGCAGAAGCATTTCTGGAGTAGCACAAACAATCCTTCAACTTCTCATCTCCCAGATTCCCCCCAGCTGAGCTCATGCACCCCAAGTGAAGGCTCAGGAGCCTCCTTGGCCTTGGAACCAAGTTATCCTCTGACAAAGACCCTCAGCTTTGCTGGCACTGCTCTTGTAATGCAGATGAGAGATCTCTGGACATGAGCTGGGCTGATTAGAGAAGTCTTTGGGATTGATGTGGATCCAGAGGCTAGAAAAAAGAACACTTAAGGACACAGGCAGACTGAAATACCTGCTGCTGAACCTTCAGTCCTGTGGCCCATGTCTAAAGAAATATGGCTTGTGATCTGCTGATTTACTTGTTGAAGGAAGGGTGAATCTCATGCATACTGGTGAGCTGACCTCCTGCTATTTCACCAGCTCAGTCCTGCTTTTTTTAGAGCCTGTGATGACTCCTCTGATCAACTGAGGTCATGTTTTGTTTCAGACTATGAAAAAACACAACCCTCAGAACTCCCTTCACTTCTCTGTGCCTATGAATACAGCACTGCAAGAGGAAAATTCATTTCCAGAGACACACAGTCATCATTCAGAGTTCCTGCCATACAAGCAGATGGATTTCCAGGGTGGCTCAGGGCTTGCTGAGAGCTTGAACCTCTATTCTGCTAGGCAGAGAACCAAGGGGGAGATTTTCAAAGACAAAGGCAGACAAGATCAAACTCCTTGAATATCTTTGGGTCTAAAGTCCCATTGGTGTTTTTCAAAAGCTTCCCCCACAGCAGGATTGTTTTCCATGGCACAGCTTACAAATTCTGCCTGAGTGAATTTCAGATAAGAGGAGAATAGTTGTAATTATAATAGAATACAGTCAGAGTACCTATCTGATATAAAGAAAATGATCCATTTTCTTTATGCAGGAAAATCTCCACCAGAGATTCTAATAGATTAGTTTGGTTGCTAATTAAAATACCTTTTAGGTGATTACAAACTTGTCCATTTGGACAGAAAAAACAGTGCCACCACTGTCAGATTTAAGAACAGATCAGTCACCATATGCTCATGTCTGGCAAAGGATTAACTATGTGCAATCTTTTGGCACAATGGTAACTTGTCACCTTCACAGGTTTTTAATTCAAGGGGTTTCAATTAGATTATGAAGTAAAAATAGAAGAATTAAAAATAAACAAATCCCTCTAATTCAAATCATTCATCTTTTTCATTTGTGTACTTAGAAAGATTCCAGGAAATGCTTAATTATGTAATCCTGTAATGAAGGTTTCAGCAATTAGTGCATTATACAACTCTGATGAGCAGCAGAATGAAGACTCTCATTGTTTTATCCTGAAAATCTATAAGTGACTCAATGCTTCCCTTTTATCATTGGGCCTCTCAGAAGGCATTTGATGACAAAGTGAGACAGAGTCTGTTTGAATTGCACCATCTCAGCCCCAAATGGCAGCAAAGGCCCCAGTGCAATACTGACCAGCTCTGCTGAGGGACAGGAGAACTCTGCCAGTGCCATTGGAGACTGACTCGAACACAGCTGACTGGAGCTCTTCAGCTGAAGAAACTGGTCCATTTGTCTTTGCTATTTGTAAAATGATCTCTGGGAACTTCAAAAGGAAAGAAAGAATAAATAAGGCTTCTCTCCCTTTTAAAACAAATCAATTTGCAGAGAAAGTCTTGTGAAGACCTTAGCAAAGCAGGGGTTAGTGACAGTTCAGTCTTGTCCCATTGTGCAGATGTTCCAGGAAAGAGTAATTGGCTGCTACTGAAAGGTCATTGGCACACATTTGAGGGGGAAAAAATTAGGAACAAAGCAAACTCTGAGTGATTCTCCATCCTGTGTGCCCTCCCAGCTTCTGGCAACACCTGAGCACTGGCTGATTGGTGTCTGTGTCCAGCCCCTCCTGGAGCAGTGAGTGCCACCATTTTAATTCAGGTTTCATTTCACTTGTCTTAAATTTGCCAGATAAGTACATGAATTGAGGATAGGGACCCAATTAAATGATGAGAAATAACTTTGACCTGTTTGCCTTCTTTAGGCTTTTCTGACCTCTCTCCTCCACCCTGCTAGACACCTTCCTTTCCTTTGAAGAGTCCTATTCTATCTGGTCAATTATAAGCATTATCTCCAGTGGAAAAGCTGCTGACTCTGCTCACATATTTCTGCTGAAGAATGAATCCCTCATTCCAGTATAGTTTACTCCTATGCATTAAAAAAATTAAGATTATATGAACTAAAGAGGGCAAGGAAATGACAAAGTGCAATGCTGAGGCCATCAGATATTGTTACTTGTGCTATGCTGACCCCAGGGCAAAGGGCACCTTGAGTAAATGCTAATTTGATCAGTATGATCCCATTAATAACAGGATAAGAAACACAACTTTTATGGTTGGAAGGCAGAAGGATGGAGTAAAGAGCACTGCAAGGTGTAAAGTACTAAAAATGAGTCTGCATCACTCTAAATGCCCCTTTTTTCCCCTATGTGACAATGTACAACTGTCACTGTACACATGCAAGTAATTGTTTAGAGTAACATTACTCTCAAGAAGAAATCTCTTTGATGGAGCCAAGAATATGTGAAACATTAACACAGGGTTCCTTGACAAAAGAATTATTTACCTAGTTCAGCATTCAGGTGACATAATTTAGACTGCATTATGACATTCACAATTCCAAGTTCTAAAATTTATGTTAAAAGTTAATTTTTTTTAATAAAAGCATACCTTTTCAGCAAGGACATTTAATTCCTCTTTTGACAGCAGAACTATGAATGGTCCAACATCTAATGTTGCTTCTGCTGTCCAGTTGTTTGAGGGGCTGAAAAAATATTTTGAAAAATTCTATTAATAAAGAATATTACAATAAAAATAATACTAAAACTTCAGTGGGTTTATGATACTTTATCATACAGGAAACAATTCTATGCCAATGTGATGATTCATTGTTACAAGCATCAGATTGCATTTTCTCATCTCTCTGGGCATAGGGCATTAGTGGAACTCACAATACAATCAGAAAAACCCTTCAAACATGGTGGTGATGGAGCTCTCCCTCAATAGTCAAGTGTTCTTAGCATTAGTGTTTGAACAAGGAGAAAGAATTCCTTCTTTGAAAGAAAATTTATCATTTTCTGTCAGTTCATATTGCAATAGTAGCCTGCAAAATGTTTATCAAAAGAGAAATAGAAACATCATCCAAATCTGACAAATGTCAGTCAACTCATTTGGTGGGTGACTTAATAAAGCACTTAGATAAGTTATTTTCAGCCTGACAGAGCCTACAGAAGAGTGTAGTGACAAATATGTTACTAGTCATGTTCCCCACAAACTATTTTAATTGCTTTGTTGCTCCACTATGAGGATGTTTAAATATCTTCAAAATTAAATTATATAAAATAACATAAAAATCTTATTTAGCACAGCGTGCCACAATTCAATAAAACAGATCTGTATCAAGATCAATGCAGGGATGGGATCTGCTGGAAAATACAGCTATCAGCTATCCTAGCACAGAAAAATGCTGACTAGCAGGAAGCTGAACAGCATCTGATGTGATCAGGTGGGTCAAGTCACCCATTTTGGGTGAAGGGGTGGTTAGAAACTGTGCCACCAGTCTCCCTCTCCAAATGCAAGATACTTCCAAGGGACAATGCACGACAGGAACAGTACATTCTTGCCAGATGGCTTTGTTCTTGGCATGACTGATCCCAGTGAGGTTCCATTCACCCTCCTGATCTGAGTCCTCAGTGACACCCAACACTGCCCACTCTGCTGCTGCAGATGCTTGAACTTCACATCCCTCTGCTGCTTCTCTGCGCTCTCCTATTGCCACAGGTGCTTGCAGTTCTCTTTACTTGGCTTCTCTCACCAGCACAGCAAGTACCCCACTTCCATTTTCCCATTCTTTGTGTTCCTGCTCCATTCTCTGCTCGTAACCCCTTTCTCCTGCCAGGCCAGTGAGTCAATTTGCCTGCCCCCATAAACATGACACTTTCTCTCTTTTCCTCTGGGACCTAAGTCATGCAGGGTGTCCCTGGGGTTGTATTTTGTTCCACAGTTATCACATTACACACAAGAACAGAAATGTCATTCTAGTGTCACTTGGGCAGTGACAGAAGCTGCTTTGTGCTGGTTTCCCTGCAGTTCATCTGGGCAAAGCAAATGTTTGGTGTTTGTATGTCCCAACCACCAGCATGAGCACAGTGGTGTATCCAATACCTTACCCATATAACTGGAGGAGTTTGTATTTAATTTCAATCTTCTGCTCGTGGCTGAGCTGTTGGCAAAGTTTGAATTGATGCAGGGCTGCTGCCATTGCCTTCAGGGACATTCTGCCATGTAGAAAGGCTGGAGGTAAGTGGCAGATTAGATTTCCAAGGAGGTCAACATCATATTCATCAGCAATGGAGCTGTTCTGAAACAAGAAACATTTGCCCTGTTGGCAGACCTAACTGGGCTCTTGCCCTGTACCACTCAGCTGCACCACAACTCATTTAAGCTGTAAGGAACAAAGACACAACAGTGTGCACCGGCAACTTAATCTACATTTTCTGCTGAGACTGCCTTACATTTTTTGTTTTACCAACCCAACTGGTGATATTTCATAAGCACTTCTCAGAGCTTTCAGTATTCTTTATTCCATCCTGAATCACACATAAAGAATGTGACCACCCAGCACCTGCAGAGCTGGTGCAGCTCTGTCTGGCAGCACAGCCCTCAGTGGCCCCTTGCAGCAGAGGGGCCCCAAGCTCTTGCTGTTAGAGCTGAGCTCTAAGGGGCTTCTCAAGCAGCTGCCAAAACACTGGGGATGATTCAGCTGGTACTGTGTGTAACAGGAATGGCCACAGCTACATCAAACAACTAGTTTCCCCTAAAAACTGGTGAGTGCTGCAGCTCCCAGACAGCAGAAGTCACAAAATCCTCCTGGTACCAGCACCTCTCCCATGGAGCTCCCTGTGCCACAACAGCTCTGCTTGGAGCCAGGGCAACACCCCAGGTGCAAACTGGTCAGCTCCAGGCTGTCCTGGCCAGCAGTGACATTTCATGAGAACACTTTGGAACATCCATGCAGTCAAGGAAAATTGCTAAGCAAGCTATAAAAAGGTTTGCTTAAGGAGCAAACAATAACATTAAAACAGTACATAAATCCCCCAAAAAATACAGATGGATGGGTGAAGAACTCATATAGGTGGTGACTCTCTCCTCCTCCATGGTGTCTCCTCCTCTGCTGGCCCCTCTCAGCCATACCCACCAGGCACTCCTGTACTTTCTGCAGGACAGCATCCCTCTTGTGAAGGCTTGGGTTCAGAAGGTCCATTCCAGTCTTGCCCACACGTTCAAGGAAAGGGACACACAAGGGGCCTGTAACGTACTCCAGGTACTCAGAACTGCAGAAAGAATTCAGGGCTCAGAATGCAAACCTGACCTTCATACACCCACAACCACAGCCATGAAATCTGTGATGACACAGATACTTAGAGACGAGGCAGGACTTGAAAAATCATAAACCAGACAGGCCAAAAAAAATGTAATTAACCCTGACCTTACCTCAATACCCATCTCCTTCCAGTCCATCAGGACATGAACTGAACTTCAAAAAAAGGCTAAGAATTATAAATAGCTGCAAGTATATGAAAGTGCTCTGAGATACTTTAACACCATATGAAACAACTGTTTACAGGTCAGAAGCTTTTCCCTTTTCTCTGTTTTATTAGGAATAATTCTCTGGTGAATGAAAATGAGGTGGGTGGCCTGAGGATCACAAGTAGTTTTAGAGTAGGTTTCCTTTTTATCAAAATCTAAAAATCCTGCCAAATTAAAAACAAATATGCTCTTCTCCACACAGAGTGGCAGACAACCTTTGCAAATAAAGCCACAGCCCACATCTGCCCAGGCCCAGTCTTGCCAGGGTCTGAAGGCAACAGCACCAGTGACTTCTGAGGGCCCTGAACAGCCAACGTGCAACTGCTGCCAAATACCTGAGTGCTGCACTTCATGGGAAGCCTTGCATTAAAGCCTATTATTATTTTACAGTTGTTGAATAGAATAGAGCCTTTTCAAATGGAATACTTTTCTTACTTTTCTCAATTAAAAAATATTCCACAAAAAGAAGGGTTCTCAGTCCCTTTTATCCCGTTAGGCACATAGAAAGAAAGAGAGACAAAGAGAAAGTGAGAAAGAGACAAAGAAAGAAAGAAAGGAAGGAAGGAATTAACAAATTTTACAATTCAGGAGTTCTCATACATACACAAGTTATTTTTTCCAAAGGAAAGAAGCTGTCACTGAGAAGTTTTGCTAACTTACACAAATGCCTTGAAACACACTGGAATGTTTCCAACATACAGAGCAATATGCTTCAGCAGTATTCAGTGGTTTTGTCTTATATATCCACTTTTAAAAAGACCCTAAAACAAATAAGCAAACCTAAACCAAATAAGCCTACCTAGGGGGAAAAAATCCACCATTGTGACAAAAATGTACCATACTAAAAGACACAAAGTATTACCAACTTGCACTTGAGAGATTTTGCCTACAGTCAGTGACCAATTTTGATAAATCACCATTTATTTGAATCATCAGTTTTCTTAGGACTGAAGAGATTCTTTGAAAAGAGCTCAGAAGTTAAGAAGGACTAAGATGTAACTCACGGAAGCGCCAGTAAGAGGAAGGGAGGAATGGATGCATTGGAGACTTTCCAAAATTTCCAAGCCAAACAATTAACCTAAAGGCAACAAAAATTTAGGCTCTTAAACCTCTAGTAGTTTTGAAGAAGAATAAAAAATATGGCTTGTTTATTGCAGCATATATATAAATTAGCATATATAAGACTATGCATATCATCTTCATAGAGCATTTTTATCTGGCTTGTTTTAGTTTTCTTTTTGTAGACATCAGAGATGAAACATTATATATTTGGGAACGTGAGAACATTTGTATGTTTCTGAAACTTCTATGTATTTCCAAACAGATTACTCATGAATTAACAAGTCAGAAGGGCTGTAGGAATTTCTTGCAATTTGTAAGTGGCAAATGAAATTGTCAAAATGAAGTATGATAACAGACAAATTCACACATAAAAGATTTAAATAAAATATGCTAACAGACAAGTTGAGACATACAGGATCTTGAAAAAAATCCCAAAAAATCCAAAGACAAAATAGAATAAACCAAATTTTAATCTACCTAATTTGGATATTGGGTAGCATGTTTATGTACATAAAGTCTTTATTGTTTACCTGATATGGAGAAAGCAGATGAAGATTCATTTCAAAGAATTTAAAATTGTTTAAAAATATGTCTGTGTCCATACTTTCAAAGAGTTGACAAGTTACTCCTTTCACAAGCTGTCCTGTGCTGATAGGAAAGGCAAATTTCAATCTTATGAATATTTAAGGAGGATCTAGTCCTTACTCCCCACAATCCCATCCCAAGACAGTTTCTTCACCTCTCCCATTTCCTGTAATTAAAAGTAAAAATGCAAACAAATTGAAAAATATCAACAAAGCCTTAAAATACCCAAACCTCTGCAATGCTTTGAGCCTCATTTTGGTTTTGAAGGCTCCTTCTGATAAGGAAAGTGAATTATCCTGTGGTATCCAGGAATGAATAAGCATAAGGTGCTCTCATCACAAAACCAGTCTTAAACCCCATTTCAAAAGAGATACAGTCCATACCTTAGAAGGTCAACAGGATGGTTTTCCTTGGACAGTAATTCATACAGATACAAAGCCTGAAAATAAAACCACCATAACTGAAGGTAGCTTTAGTTAATCCAGTTGTAAGAGACAACAACTTCTGCAAGGTTTTTGTACTCTGAGCTCTGTTATGTACTCTAAAGGTACTTCTATGGTCCAGCTTGAGCAAGCAAAAGGGTTGGCATCCAGTTTAGATGAATGTTTTTTTCCCAAGACAAGCCATCGCTGACTGGCATTATGGGATGATGCTAAACCTGCACATGGCCCACAGCTACTGAAAAACTTAGGGCTGAAGGGAGCTCTGGAGATCTGATCTGATCCAGCCTTTCATCTCTCTGGACATTACATGCAAATGCATAATATGCAGTACTGGAAAAAGAAAATTTACATGGCAGAAACCTGAGGGCTTAAATTCAGCATATGAATGCTTCTTTTTCCATAGCATTGTCTCATGGTGCTGCCTGGGCTCTAAATGCCCTTTGGTGTTTATGTTGAGATAAAACTGGGGCAGTTCCTTCCTTTTACCTGTGTTCCTTTAACACAAATATATTACACCACTTTTCCAATTCTCCCATCACACTACAGTGCAGTGGAATGGGAACTGCATAACAATTTTTACCTGGCTGCTTCTCAGTTCTTTTTCGTTCAGCATTGCAGGATTATATCCAGTTTGCTTCCATAAACCAGAAAGAGAGACTTCTTTAAAGAAAGCTCCTTGTATATCTTTGACTGACGAAGAAAAATCTCCAGATGAAGCAATCTAAAAAGAGAAACACAAAAAATACATGGCATTTCTGAACTGATGCTTAGATTTACAGGATTTGCCCTTCTTTCTATTCTGTGTAATATTTCTCTAAGAGGATAAAGGAAAAACGTGACAGTATTAAAACCACAATGAAATAAGCAAGAGAGAGCCTTCAAAATACACTTGGTGTTCAGAAAAATGGCAGTAGAACCATTAACCATTGAGCTAAAGGACATATCTCGGTTTAATTCCTGCTGTACAGTTCTGGTTATGGTGCTGTTGTGCAGAGAGAACCTGGAGTTCATAATCCATCACCTTCCTGAGGATGCCCTGCTGCTGTGCAGGAGATAAATCTGACAGGTACTGGGACGTTGTGCCTCGAATCATCTGAGCCAGCTCCCTGGGGCTCATGCTGTGCAGGGACCAGGTGCCAATCCCTGTCACCAAGGCACCCATCTGGCTCACGTTGTAAAATGATAAAACCTGCAGGGAGAACAGCACAAGCAAACAGGAAGTTTCACTGAGACCAGCAGATGTATTTAAAAGCAAAAGTCAATAAAGTAAAACTGCTTATTAAATACTTAATGTATTTCTTTCCTGGGATACATTTTCTGTGTCTGTCCCATTGAACAAATGCCTGAAGTTTCTCAGAAGTTTCTTTTTCTGAAACTTCAACCAGGACCTGATTCCTTGCATTGCAGTATATTTGAATATACAGCCTGGGATCTCTGATCATACAAATTCTACTCAGGGCAGTGACACAGACAAAATAATATATACAATTGCCAAATCCAAATATTCATTCTCTCTGTTACTAGACAGTTGCTTTGGGATGTACAATCTTGGATGCTTTTATTTGATTTAAACACATTTTTCAGGCCACTAATGAAATAGAGTTCTTGCACTAAACCTTTCAAAATCTACAGTTGTTGTTCAGAAGAAGCCATTTCACTTTTAAAAACAGAAGGTAGGAAAGCTGTTATCAGAGATACCTTTTCATAAGAGAGATATTTACTGGATAAAATCATAACTTGGCTCTTTGCCCACCCAGAGACTTGGTTTAATGTTGCAACAGCATTATGCACTGCTTCAGGTGACAGAGATTCCAGCTGACTTGGAGTTAGTCCAACCACAGCATCTGACAGAGTTCCAAGGGTATCATTCAATGTCTGGTTTTGCATGGCAATGTGCAGGAGTTGAGATTTGAGCTAAATCAAACAAAAAGAGCAGATCAGAAATAAAAATCTGCCAAGAACCAATTTCCATTACTACCCAAAACATTAACTGGAATCTCTGGAATAAGCATTGGCAAATATTCACACACTTCATAAAATTTCAAAAATAGAAGCATAGTTGTGAAAGGTATATGGAACAGGAATATGAAACAGAATGAGAAAAGAATAAGCACCCAAAATGGGTTTCTATTCTTTGCATTCTCAAGAACTATTTTCCCTTATTTCTTAAGCCCCAGTAATTTTTCTCTCATTTCTTTCCTTATTTAAGAAGAACATCTTTCCTCCTCTGTTTACAGGGTTATGTTAGGCAAGAAGAACAAGTGTTGTACACACCTCATGAACCTTGGCCTGGAAACCTCTCAGCTGATTGCATTTAATCATTTGATGAAGTAGAGCCCGGGCCACAGCTGCATCCATCTGTTCCAGGTCATCATAAAAACAAACCAACAAGCCCAGCCTATAGAGCAGAAACACATTAGCTCCCTTCTGACAGAAAAGGTGTCACTGTTGGGCAAAGGAAACACAGCTTGGTACCCTCTCCTTGTGATCGCAGCTTGAGCCATTTCTGTTTGTCATCAGTGCCTCCACCTGCAGCCTTTAAAACTTAGCCTGAAACAGGGGTATGAGAACATGCACTGACCTTTGCATTCAGCTGAATCCTGCCTGGATTGGTTGTGCTTGAGGATTTACCTGTCCTGCTTCCATTTGTTCATGGCAGGATTGTCCCACTAAATGGCTCCACTTCCCTCAACAGGATAATTTTGAAAATGATGGAGGGCTATTACTGCCTCTAGAAGTGTCTTGCTGAGTTCTTATCTGGTTTGATTGGATGTTTTGAACTCTAAGTCCTGCTTGGATTCCACATGCAGCACAACCCATTTGTGTTTCAGAGCAGCAGCTGGGGCATGCCATGGCCTCTTTATCATTTCAGGAGTAAACAAACCTGCTGTATTTCACATCAAACACAAGACTGGCCAATGGATGGAGACCTGTCCAGTTCACCACTGCTCAGGAGAAAGCACACTGAGGCTCACTGCCCACTGGTGCCAGCACAGCAGTCTGCAAGGCAGGGCTTTGAGCTGAGCTCATTTTCCTTCACAGTTCCCATGCCATAATATTTAAGTCAACATTTCCATTAATCTCTGTAAAGTGCAAGCACAGCCATTGTTTTTGGAGAGGAGGAGTCACACCACCATGGGGAAGTGCCTGTTGTAGGTGTCCTGGCTTGGATCTTGTGCTTATTTATTGCCTTTACCTGCAGCCCTGCCAAGAAAGAGCTCTGAATTGTGCATCACTATGTCTGGATTTTGAACTTGATAGTGATGGGGATGAACTGGTTTGTAGGAAGCCTGAGCCAATTCCTTTTCCCTGTAAAATCTCAGCCTTTGTTTTTATAATTTACAAAGAACAAGGACCTCAAAGATATGGCCAAAGCCCAGCTTTCCTGCTACAGTCCCTGGTTTTTCACAGTTCAGTGAGACAGGCACAGGCAGAGAGTCTGGGCAGTAATGTCCAGATGTGAATCAAATCATCAGTGGACAATGCTGCAGCCCTACCACAAACTCAGTCAAATTCTGCAGCACAGAAAGGCTTTTAGTTCCTCCAGTCCCTCAACAACAACATGCCAGCAATATAACAAAACACTGCTTCAGCAGCACATCTGAATTCATGGGAGATCATCAAACCAACACACAAATCAAAGAAATATCTATAAGAGCATTTTTATAACAAATAATTACATTCTGATGCATTATTGCATAGCCACCAAAAGCTCTTCATCTCCTTTGGGATTAGCAGAAATGAATAACACTACTACTTAAAAGTAAAAGTGCATTTAAATCAACAGCATGGTTAAAATGAGTAACATAAACTAAGTGTGTCGTAAAAATGGAATACATTAAGGATTATGGAGCATGACATTTCTCTCATCCATGAGAATGTGGCAGCTCTTGTGAGTGACAAAATAATTTTTAAGATTTCTGACATTGAAATTTAGAGCGTGGGCATAACTCTTCTCTCGCTTACTCCTCCGACAAGAGCAATGCTTCACGGAAGTCAGCGAGCTGCACTGCAGTAATGACAGCAGCTCTGAAGCCATAAAGCATATTCTCCATTAGCTTAAAACTCCAAGGTATCCCCCAAGGAGGCTACAAATAATTTCAGACAGCATTGTCTTGGGACTAAATACATCCATTGATATGACAATGTAAATGTAAATGTGGAGTGCAGAGCTCTCTCGTGCTCGCTGCGTATTTATGAGTAACAGCAGTTTATTTTGGTTTTTTATTAGTGGTAAAGTTAGTTCAGTGCAGATTTGACAGCCCTGAAAATTCAGTTTCCTGCTTACACACCTAAAATCCAAACATATTTAAGCATGGCTCATCTCCACCCTGCAGGACAAAGAGGACAGCAGGGCAGGCTTTACACTGCTTCACTTTGTGGCTTCTCTGGTGACACCCACGTCAGCTTAAACCCACTGGCAGTCCTGCTGGCAGGAGTTGAGGTTTCCTCCTTCAATCCTAACTGTAAAACGATTTCCCCCAAACACCTCCATGTTCTGTGATTCAGGCAGCCAAGACAACTCATGTCCTGCTGTCCCAGTTTATTTTATGGCTCTGTGATGTGGTGGAGCTCTGCCTAGGTCCCCCAGATACTGCTGCAGCCTTCCTACAAATGCTACAGGCACCTCCTCACTGTGGAGCAGGAGACAAAGCAATAGCTAATTAGGCACACCTCCAAAAATTCATAAAGTAGCAATTCTTCACTGTTGCTAAACAGAGCTGGACTTCTGCCTAGATTTTTCCTCTGGAATGAAAAAGCTGTGCCACGCTATCAATTTCCATTTTCTCCTTAGTTAGTTGTTCCATCCACACACAGCCATAAAAGAAAAAGCAAAGCAGCCTTGCCTGTACAGGGTTGAAGTGTTCCTCATATCAAAGCCTGAGGAGTTGATCCTTTCCAGGAGGGCCTGTGCAAGCTCTGGTGTGATATCAAACACCGTGTCCAGCTGCTTGGTTGCGTTGTCGTAGCTGATGAACAGCCTGACCTGAGCAGCACAAACAAAACCCTGCATCAGCACTGGGAGACAGTGAACCCTGGCAGGTCTCTGTCTGACACCCAAAATTAACTGAGCCTGTTCATGTTATAGAGAAAGCAAGAAGATTTGGATAAACCAGTATTTCTGAAGGCAAAGTTGAGTGAGTGATTTGAGTGATTCTTTGCCAATATGTCATATAATTTGAGGGTCTTCCATCATTGGTCCCTTTCAATAGAAGTCATGGAAGTCTAATGCACATAAATAATTACATATTAATGACAGGCACATTAAAATTAAAAAGGTAAAAGAATTTTGAAAAGAATACATTTATATTTCCTCTCTGTAGTTTCTCTTTATAATTAATTAATAAGATATATTAAGTTATTTTTCATGTTTAAGTTTGCTTTTGTGTTCATATTATTTATAGCAATAATAAATCCAACCACACTTTGTTACTTACTTCATTGAGACTAATTTTCAGAATTTCTTCTAATGGGAGATGGACCACGTATCTTCCCAAAATCCATAAGCTTTCTGCACTGACCCAAGAAGTTGATTCATTGAACTCTGTTTTGTACAAATAAATACTCACTACAATGTTCAGAAAGTAATTACTTTTCAAATATATTTTACCCAGTATATTGTTATTGTTAAATAATTAAAAAATCCACAAATAAGAAAAATCCTTAGCAGAGAGAGCCAGATTCCCCCCATTTGCTACATTTTAGCACCACGCTTTTATGAGTCCATACATTTTTAAATGAAAATGAAATAGTGTTTCAAGCATCTCAGATTTTCTCATACAAAAACAATTAATGTTTTATGTTGTCAAAAAAGAGAATGGATTAAGTGTGGGACAGGAAAAAATTACCCAAAAGTATTAAACATGGAGCAGTGTTTTTAAATTTCACTTTTCCTAATCAATTGCATTATTTAAGAACGTCAGGAAGGCATGATACGTTATATATCTTATATATTATTATTGATGATGCTACTTATTTCAGCAATATGCAGTAGCAATAATGGAGAAAATGAAAAACTGTTCAAATACCTACATGGAAATAGGCTGACAAAACCACAAAACACTGCATAGCAGTTAAAAAATGGCATTCATTTAGTAACATTCTCCCAAGGATTGAAAATGAAATCAAGATCCAAATATCCCTGAGAAAAAACATATTTATGGACTGCATGGGTACCCTGAGCCACAGGGACTGTTTTCTCCAGGGTGCTGTCATTTGGATGGCTCTGTGTGTGACACCTCTGAACACATTCCTCAGCAGTGCTGATACTCACAACTCTGTTCAAATAAAATCATCCATGCACTTTGAAGATGTTCCAGTGCTGGGAAAAAAACAGCCTGCATCTATCAGAAGCTGGAGGACTCCATTAAGTGACTTTTTTGAAAACACAGATCTAAGCTCCTTAACTGAGACAAGATGATGATCCCAGCAGACCTGTCAGGCCTGCGTTTTTTAAAGTGATATTACCTCCCATTACCCAGAACATTATGAGAGTTGAAAGACATGACAAGAGAACTAAAGAAAAAACCAGCAGCATTTAAGGATGTTGACTGTGGCCTTTAGCAGAACAGATTTGCAATTACCAGCCTTGGCAGCTGTGATGCCCAAAATCTGATCCCTATCCCAGGTGGTCCCAGTGCTACCCACACACAAAGTGAATAAATCAGCCCCTGCAGGAGTGGTCCTGCACTCTGCTGTGGCCTGGGGAGTGCAGACAAACAGGAGGGAGCTTTACACTTCCAGTCCAAGTGTGCCTGCCCAGGGCTGATGGTTCACACTGCCACAACCAGCTGGGAATCAGCCCACACTTGGTGCCCTGGGTGTGGATTCACCACATCTGTGCAGCTTTGGCAGCTGAAGCAGCAACCAGAGAGGAAAAAGAGGCACAGCAACTCCCAGTCCCTCCTAAGCTGTGTGGTCTTCCAAAAACTGAGGGTTCACCAATGCTTCAGACAAACCTAAGATGATGCTGAGGGATTTTCCCAGGGCTGCTGAGGAGCACCAGGCAAATTCTGCATCTCTGCTTCCCCAGCAATGCACTAGCTCTAACATCACCTCACAGCAGCAGCATGAGCCTCCTCTCCACACTTACTGGTTTACTCTGATATTTTGAAATGGCAGGAGACCCAAGAGGTAAATTTAGCTCCACTGAAGCAAGTGGGCATTTAACCTTTGATTTCCAGGGAAGGAGGAAGAATACACACACCTGTAAGTTTAAAATGCTCCCAGGACAGCTGTGCTGGGATGCTCAGTGAAACCCAGGCTCTGATGTTCAGTGCCCTGCACAGCCCCCTTGTGGAGCCCATCCTGCCTGTCCCAGCTATGGAACAGCTGTTTCAGGCACATTAACCAGGCAAACAGGTGTGGAAAAATGCATTCAATCAGGATTGATTAACTTTGGTTTTATCACGTCCCTTTGCTGATCGAGTTGGTGCCATGTGCTTTCACAACATCCTGCATTTCTTTTGTGGTTTTAAACAGGGCAGTGGATAAGGTATCCTGAGCCAGAGCTGTTTTTCTCATCTGCACAGGAGTTCAGAAGAGATCAACAAGTCTTGGCAGAGCACCTGGCCACTGTATCCTATTTCAGACTTAGTACAGACAGAAAAGACTGGAGTACAAGAAAAAGACTGTGCATAGCTCTGTGCAGAACAGAAGAAGAGCCCATTGGTTGCACTTGAACCTGGAGGTCTTTTCCAGCCTTAACAATAGCATGATTCTACTCCACAACTTCAAGCATCTTTGGAGAACTATTTGTCATGAGCAGCAAACACATTATATTTATTTACTGTGCTCTGCAGAAAAGGTATTCCAGACAGCTCTCTAACCTGGGTTAACTGGGAAAACAATTCAATACAATGGGCAGGCCTTTTGCTGAGTGCTTTTCTCTTATGATAATCAAGAATAAAACACTTTGTAACATACCACTCCTGTTGTAAGATTTCTGTAGAATCTGCTTCATCCAGCCATAGAGAGCTCTCTGAGTGCTTGCTGAGGTTCTGTCATAGAGGTCCTTGAACAATGAGGATCTTAAGTGATAAACAGGTTTGTTAGCTCATTAATCATTTAACTATTCATTTTTTTTAATAACACATGGACATAAGCATGGATTTTACACATAAGCAGAAAGCTGTATCTGGATGACAAACTAAAACCATATAGCAACCTCTTTTTTTCAATAGCCAGCAAATCCAATATAGTATAAATTGTGTCTGAAAATTAAATGGCTTACAAGTTTCTGAAAGCATCCTCCAGCAGAAGGTTTGGGAGACTCCCAACGACATCAGGTTGGAGATAGTTCACAGCTGACACCCTCAGAACCTGACTCAGGATATCCACACAGTCCAGGGCACTCAGGGCCAGGAAGCATTTATCCAGTGTTACAAGGAACAAGGTCCTGTTTACTCCTGGGCTTTGGAAAATTCTCTCTCTAATCTTGCCCCAGTCAAGAATAATATTTCCAATTTCCTGCAAGCAACAGAGTGTCAAATCAACATCTCTGATTAATTCAATATATTGTTCATTTTGAGGCCTGACAGAGAGCACTCTACAAAGAATATGATGCTCTCATGAAAAACAGCTGCAAACTACTGGTTGTTGGCTTTTCTACAGATAATTCCTTTCTGGCATTGGGTAGGGACCAGCTTGAATTTTTTTACAAAACCAAAATGAAAGCCAGAATGATATTTCAAATGGCTGATTAACAAAATGACTAATTTCACCTTCTTTAGCCATCTTGGCTCTTTTTCCAGCCTCCAAAAAGAAGATGCTCCCTGAGAGTAACTGGCCCTGCCCACCTCAGGTGTTACTGTAGGAGAGTGAACTCTTCTCTGCAGATGAGTTTCTCTCTACTGATTAGAGTGAAAATTCAAATTACTGACTTGGACTTGCAGCAACTTTTAGATGTTAATAGTTAAATAAACTGAGTCTAACCTAAGAGGAGATGAATCCAACCCAAGCCAGGTAGGTAACTGCAAGGCCTGCACTGTGAGCCCCCCAGTCTGTCCCTCTCCATTTATCTAAGCCACTGACAGCAGCTTTTCCCTCTCACACGTGGGAATTCACTTACAAGATGCTCCTTTTTGCTGTGGAAGAGGTACTTCATTGCAGTTTGGAACTGCTGCTGATCAAGCTGCTGCAATTCTGACAGCAGCTGCCTGGGCTGGTATAAAAGGTTCTTCAGGTAACTTTTTATGGACATCTGAAGTGTAGAAAAATATGTGTAATATACATAAACCTCATACTATTGTACTTTAGCTCCCTGAAAATCTGTGCTCATGGAGAACTAAGTGCTTAACTCTGTATTGTCTGTGCTGCCAATGATCAAAATAACTATTCCCCACACAAACTGAAAACAAAAATAATCTAAATGCATTCTGAAAGACAGCAATTTTCAAATCCTATTCTTGTCTTCATGAACCAGTCCTCTCGAGGGAGCTTTTTAACAAAGATGCCTCAGTTTCTCACTTCATAAAACAAGAGTAATAAAGCTTTTCTGCTTCACACAGCAGAGCTGTGAAAATGAGACTTCTGAAGAGCTAAAAAAAAGCCTAAAAATATCAGGTATCATGTGCATATTACTTAAAAAAGGGAAGGAAATGTGCAATTAGATGGGAGGAAAAGTCTCTACCAGGTCATAAGCCAAAAATATTCTCTCTTGCATCAAGCTGCATTACCAGTTAACAACCTCATGCCTGTTTTGAAAAATTGAAGGGGAATCTTAACATTGGAACAGAAATAAATTTAAGGCTCATTAGCAGCAGACTGGAGTAAAATCCCTTCTATTCCTTGACAGAATTATTTCAGAATTGGTTTGGAATTTGAATTGCAATTGTTCTTTGCTGCCTTTGCTTAACTTGCATTGCCACCACCAAATATTAACGCGGTTCTTTATGCCTCGGGGTTCAGCCTGCTGAGAACATCAGGCTGCCAACAAACCTGACAAAGGGAAGGGGCAGTGGCAGGAAATGTAGGTGAGGGTGAGCTGTGACAGTGACAGAGCCTGGGACAGGTTTCAAGCACTGTGCAGCTCCTGGGGACGCCTGAGGCTCAGGGATGGCACAGCTGACACTTCCCTGTCCCTGTGTGTGCAGGGACGAGCGAGGGGCTCAGGTGGAGGCATTGTGTAGGATGCTCTGGACAAAAGGAGCAGTGTGAACTACAGCCAGCCAAAATCTGGGAGAAACCTGTCATTTTCTGGGGAAACAGCATTTATATACATTCAACTCAGAAATAATTAGCACAAAAAATCCTAATTCCTACTTTCCATCAGAGGAAAAGCAAAAAGAGTTGTTATTATTTCTGCCTTGCATACCCCTGCAATCTTTGGGGAAAAAGATAACCTATTCCTATTTCCTATTTTCCTCCATCATTGACCACTAGCTTTGGCTACAGAGATAGATTAAGTTTTTTAAATTCCTTTTCAAATAAAAATGTTCATGCACCTTAAATGTCACAAACCTGTAGGCTGCTAAGAGTAAACATAACTTCCTGGGCATGAAAATATGCCATGACTTTTGTAAGCAGATCTGCTGTCCAGACATTAGAGCTGTAACAGAAAACAGGATCAAAAATGCCAGTAGAATAATGTAACAAGTAAAATAATGTAACAAGTTAAAGAGCAGATTACAGGAGTAAAAAAGAAAAAGGGAAACAAAGAGTGATGCTAACACCATAATGACAAAAGTATTCAGCTTTTTGCCTAGCCAGAGCAATAGCTGATCTGTTTACTGCAATGAAAATACATGGTTCAATGGGGAATGGAATTAATTAGTTTTTTCCCATCTAATTCCACAACCACCCACAACAAACTCAATTTTCCAAGGTGCTGCCATTAGCACCATCTCCAAGGCATGTGCTTTCTGGCACCCCATTATGCCTGCTCTGATCTGCTTGCAGAAAGCACAGGGAGGATCTGCTGCCTTCCCTCAGCAGTCATTAATTTCACTGAGTCTTCCTTACACAGACACTGATTTTTTCAAAATATGTAGGAGTGGAATGGCCTTTGAGGCTTATCCTGCTCTTTCAGATTTGGACAAAATTAGCAAATAATTCAAAAGCCACCAGGAGCTGGAGGATGGGGATGGAGGGAGGATGAAAGGAGGAGGTGGACAGACAGCTGGAACTGCACCCAATTTCCTTACAGAGCCATTTGGACACATGTGACCAAAGTTAATTATCAAAACTTCTGAAGCAAGTATTTATTTTCAGCCTCATTCTATATATTTTTTTTTCTTTTTCATGACAAACAGGTTTTTCCCTGTTAACAGGAAATACTTCTCCCAGGAGACCTAAATCCAAGTAATCATATGTGCCAACTTCATTCTATCCATAATGTTCCAGTTTCTGTGGATATGAAACAGATCATATCTGAAGTGCAAGATAATATTGAAAAATCAAGATGGGGAGAGTAATACATTACCTTTGAAAATAAAGCATATCTAGGAGGGCTGCACATGAAAAATGGAACATAAAAAGTTATGGTGAGATACTGAGTTTTATTTCATTTTAGAAGCATAAGTGGGAACAACTGTGTACATTACCATTCAGATATTTCCCAGCTATTACTTCCTCCTAAAGAAAAATTACAAATATATGTAACAAGTTACCATTTTTAGATTATAATATAAAATGTTGTAATGTTAAAATGTAGAGAGATCAAATAAAAATACTAACCACAGCTTTGTGTAACAATGGAGGCAAATCTGTAAAAGATTATCCCATGATTAGAAGTTAATTTAATGTTTTATCAGTCAATTGTGTTACACAAAAATACATTTATTGTATGCAATGATTATATACACATATATAATTTATTTGCATAGATTTAATGCAGTTTTAATTAAATTTATTTACAGAAAAACAGTGGGGGAAAAAGGCCATTCAACAATAAATTGGTAAAATTCTTTGCTGGCATAGCTCCATGAAGCCAAGAGAGCAGAGACCATGGTCCCAGTCACTAAACAGCACCTAATTTATTAACCACAACTTTTTCTGTGCCACAAATACACCCCTCAGACAGGAGTTCTGCTCTTACCTTCAGAGTTCTGACTGTGAGTAATCTTGGCATGATTCATTGATATCAACAAGAAACACATCTTCAAAAGTCTGGACATTTCTTCTGGTGTTTTTAGAATAAAAAGATACTTGGATTGAAGAGGAAAATAGGAAGAACAGAGTCAAAATGCAAAATTCACCCCAAATTTCATAGCTATAAATCAGAGACAGCCTACACTATGGAGTACAGATAGAGATCAGAACAATCCAAAGCTGCTTGCTCCCAAGTTTTTAATTTAGATCTTTTTCTAGGATAGAGATACACTTCATGCAAACACAAGTCCATGAAGAGTGTGTGTGCAGACAGATTTATTTCCCTGTAGCAAATGGCTCATTTAATTCTCTTCCTTGTAGCACCATTTATTTACCAAGTTACACTGCACCTAAGTATGACTTCAATGCAGTTTTGTTAAAACAGGCAAACAAATCCTTTTAAAATCAGATAAAACAGAAGAAAAACTGAATGAAAAAGGAAATTATAAAGAAGCTTCAAACAAACCCAAAGCTTTTCCTAGCTGGTTAAGCTGCAGTGTCACTGCAGCCTTGCTCTGGGACCCTCCATTTGCAGATCTCTGAACCCAGGGGTGGCACAGCCTGGCCCTGGTCCCCTGGCCCTGCAGGGAGGGGATGGAGCACTCCCCTTCCCTGCTGCCACTTTGGGCAAAAAGGGAGAAAACACCCTTATGATCTTCTGAAGCAAAGTCCCACATTTGGGAAAGTGACCACGTCACTTCACTTGGATGGATCAAAGCCATGGTCTTTGCACTCACAAGAAGTGTCCCATCAAACTCTCACCACAGACAGTTTTGTGTGGAAAGAGATGTTTTGGTAGCCCTTGCCATCCCTGCTGCCCTGTGCTGTGCAGCATAAAAATCACTGAAAGATAAATTCTCTGGAAGGGCAGTAACAGGGTACCCACAGCTTTTCACTGCGTTGTCACTGATAGTCACCAGAAAAAAATTGAGTTCCACAGTTGTCCAAAACAAATGAATGTGTTGCTTTTGGTCTGCATCTTGAAGGACAAGGATACACCAGAACTAATGCAATGGGTGGAAAGGAAGGAAAGACTGGGCAGGCTTCACTCTCACAGGAGTTTCTGCAGCCACATCCCCTCCTCAGCTCTGAGGGCCATCAGCTGCTTCAATCCCACTGCAGAGGGGATTTTCTGCCTGGCCCCCTGCTCAGCCTGACAGCCACCATCCCCACAGGTAAAACAACAAATTAATCTGAGATATTAGATCATGCCTTGACCCACAGATGGCAACTCCTTACACTGGGATTAGTCCCTGATTTAACAAATGACACACAGGGTCCCATTGGCCCACTTGGCTCTGACCATAAAGAGACTTTGTTAGGTTTTGTCTCCCTTTCCCTCATTTCAAAGGTTTATTTGCAAGACACTGAATTTCTGCATTTCTTTTTGTTGCTGAATTCTGTGCTCTCTCTTTTTTCCCCCCTAAAGTTCTCTGCCACAGCTCGAGTTACAGATCTGAATATTTGATAAATGACACCTTTTTTGGACTGTTTAATCTCATGTACCAAGGTACTCTTTTATAAAAATATCTTTCAACGAGCCTCCAGCTATACCTCAGTCTGTTGCAAATACTTAACTCCAATATTGTAATAGGAATGACTCAAACTGACAGATGATGAAAAATTTAACTTTTAGACTTCAAGAAGCTATCACCTCTGTCCTGTTCTTACACACCTGAATCCCTTTTCAGCCACTCTTTTGGGAGCACCACAGTAAATGTCTCTCATTCAGATGTATCTGGTTTCCTAGACAAGGAACTTACTTGTGTTTGCTTCTGCCTGTGCCCTAATAATTTTCCAGTAAAGTTTGATTACTCTGCATAGGTTAAATCATGCTTCCAATGTCACTCCCGATTTGTTTATTCCAATTCATTCACTTTGATCAGGGAGTGTATTTTAATTAAAGCATGCTAACTTAATGTCTAAGGAGATTAAATGCTAAGGAAAGTGCTTTTTCATCCTGACTTACTCAAGGGGACAATCAGCAGGGCACAAAAAGGGCTGTGGAAAGCCCTGCCTGGCAAGACAACCTGTAGGATGAATTAATTCATTTTTTGAGTGTAACAGGTCAGTTTGCAGCTCACAGCAACCTCCAGACAGTCCCAAATCCCCCTCTGGGGATCTCCTGCAGATCCCACCCAGCATTTCCCCAGAGATCATCCCGTGCATTTGCTGTGATGAGATTTCTGAGCCTGCAAGACTCCCCGCTAAAGAGAAACTCCCAGATCGCCTTCTCCTCTCACTCCAGAACAGCCACCCTTCCATGGACAGAAATCCTAGACATTTTATCACTCACCCCATGCAGTCGCTGCCTTATCTGAAGCTCGATAGCCAGAAACTGACCTTACAATCACAACTCGCGCTGATAAGCCCTTACACTGCCCGTGCCCACCTTCCCCTGGCACCTGGGCTCTGAGGGAAAGCACCACATGCAAAGGCTGCGGGCTGGAAAGGGAGAGCGGGCAGGAGAAGAGAAGAAGGGCCAGGCCCCCCGAGAGCTTTACCTGCCTCCGCCGTGTGCGCCTCCTCCTCGGCTCTGCAGGAGCTGGGCGGCTCCAGGGGGACCCTGAGAGCGGGGCCGGGCCCAGCACCGCCCTGCGGCCTCAGGCGCCGGCCCAGCGCCCCGGCCCTCAGGGCGGGCGGGAGCGGCTCCTCCGCAGGGGCTCGGCACTCCCGGGGCCGGCAGGAGGGGACGCTTCTGTCCGAGGTGAAGAGAGCTCACCAAGCTGTGCAGGGGAACACAGGGCTGGAGCTGCCCTGCTCCCCATCTACCCAGCCAAAGCAGGGGAAGGTGGCCCTGGGTCCCTCAGAGCGTGAACTGATTGTACCTGGGATCACCCGGCAAAAGGGGGCTGTGGTTTTGAGGGGTGAAGCTGTTCCAACTTTGAAAGATTCTGGCTAAATCGTGTGGCACAGCATCGTTTTCCTGCAGTGCAACACATCCAGCCCACCCTGACAGAACAGAACAGAACAGTTGAATTGCTCTCCAGAGCAAAACCCTGCACATTGAGAGCAGTGCAGTGCAGCTTGGATGGACACTCACACCCACAGCAGGACACGGCAGGATTCCCAAACCCAGGAGTAATGGATTTGGACATTGGAATTGCAACACTTCTTCCCTTAAATCGCATCTTTGGGGCTATTGAACTATTGGACTCACGAGTTTCTTTGTGTGGGCTGTGAGCAGCATTGACTGCACACAAATGCTCTCAGTGCCTGAAGGGAGGAAGAAGTCTCTTCCCTCCCAAGGTACTTTGGCTTTAGAAATGCAGGTGTAGGTACAGAAATACTGTACCTGCAGGTGTAGGTACAGTCCTGGGGGTTATTCTGTTTATTCAACAGGTCTAAGCAGGTGTTTGACCCTGCTGAATTTATGCTTTGTAGAAAGGTTTTCTTCATCATTGGTCATCTTTTAATTCCTCATCTTAAGTGTAAGAATACTTGGTTAAATAGAATGAACAAAGCAGAAAACCATAAGAAAGGAAAAAAAAACCAAACAACCCTGTTGTTTACATTGCACCTTCTGTTCCCAAACCTCTCAAAGCCATTACAAACTGAGATCCTCAGTGACAGGACTAAAAAATGTGAGACATGAAATGCAGTCTCTTGTGTGATTTTTAACATGTGGGATTAAAACACTTAAATACGTTTAAAGAAGTTTGTCTTACTTCATATTTGCTACCTTAACCTAAATTAATGACACATTAAAAAACATCTTCCCACTACTAGATGAGTATAAAATGAAGGTAGCAGAAGATAAATTAATGGATTCAGTCCAGAGCATACACAGCTCATTTTCCCAACAGACAAATCTGATTGCACTACATGCCAAAATGCAACAGCACACCCTGAAATGAGAATAACACTGAGTCTAAATTACTGTTGAGAAGTAATTTGAAATTTTCAGCATCCCTTGCCCTATACTACAGAATACTATACCACAAAGATGACTGACAACAAAAAGCTAATAAATTGGCAGGAGAAATCATTAACCATCAGCTTGAGGTAAAGCTAAAATGACATTGTTAAGTATCCTACCTGGCATAAAATCACCATTAATTATAAAAACCACAAAAAACCCACAACAGACAACTTTTTTAGACTTCAAAAGCAACAGAAGTCAGTTCTTACTTTACTTACCTGAGGCTTCTCTGCTCTCTCACACTTGCACAGCATGACATACACCTGCCAGGTCTACTTGTGATGTCTCTTGTTTTAAAGAGAAGTTATATCCCAACTGCCACTTTATCCACTTAAACCGTTTTTAAAACAAGACATGTTAAAATAAATAGCATTAATTTAGTGTTTTTGAAGAAAGGAAAATGTCTCAAGCTAGCTAAAATGAAAATTATCAAGCCCCTACAGCCTGATCCTCACAGGCAGTTTGACTCAGAAAATTTGCAAGAAACCACCTGCAACTTTTTAAAGCTGAAAAGATTTGGCAACAACTTGCTTAGAGGGTTTGTTTTTAAAGCCATCAGCTTAAAGTGCAGTTTTGACAAGTTCTACCATAACCCCATTAGCTGGAAAATGGCAAATGCAAAAGCAATGAGGATTTATGAGGCTGTGATAGGGAAGAACATGAAGGAAACCCAACCAAAAGTGATACATTTTTTGTGCACTGTTATCCCATTAAAGAATAATTAAATGCTGTTGAAATAAATGCAAGGTTGTATTGCTACTGAAAGCTTGATTCTCAACACAAACAGCAGTTGCTGCCGGCAAGCATGGCTATGGTTACAAAAATGAACACAAAAAGTCATCTCAAAAAAGTTTATTAGCATGATTAAAAACGTGAAGAATGACAGTAAGAGAGAAAGTAACTTAGCATGGAAGATTATCCATTTCAACAGTTTTATTCAACAAGGCTTGAAGTGAATGGATAACTTTATTGCCAGATTTTGCTTGATTTCTTTCACAACAGTTCACACTGTCAGTTTCACCATGATCAAGACTATTGCTTTTGTTTGGATATGATCCCTGTTGCAGGTAATTATAAAAAAATATTCCCCATTGCTGCTGGATTGCAGATTGCAATGTTGGTTTAAGAGCTGGTAAAAAAGAAATACTCAGCTGAGGAGTCCATTTAAAAAACAACCTTTTCTTCCCCCCCCTAATCACACTACAAAGAAATACATTATTATTTTGGCCTTTAAATTTCTTACATGGTATTTATTTAGCATGGCAATCCCAAAATTCCCTCCCTTTAAGTAACCATACATCAAAATCCTCTTTCAGAGGCTGCTTCTTGGGTTAGATTGTGGAGCTTTACTTCACCCAGGCCTACACTGGCTTGAGGACAAAGACAGCATCATCCAGCACGTAGTAGTCATTGTACATGTCACCTTCACAGAGGTAGGGCAGTCTGGTGAAAGCCTCGATGGCAAAACCAGCTTTACTGAAAACTTCTGGCAGGCTGTTCACCTGCTCTTCCCAAGTGTGCCCTTTGATTTCCAAAACTTCTGAGGGCTTTTCCCACTTGCCACCTACTGAGAAAACAGAACAGCTTTGTTTTAATTATAAAGAAAATTTTATTGTGTGCAGCATTTTCCTACAGAAAGCATAATTACACTAATTATGTTTCATTCCACTCCACACAGGAGGTTGCCACACCACTCACAGACCTGTTGCAAGATCAGTTCCAGTTTATCCCTGCTGTTCAAAAGCAGCTTCTTTAAGCTTATCTTTTGTTACATTTTTAAACTGGAAGTGCCAGGAATGGCTAAAAGGTAACTGCCATTAGTGAGTTTGGTGTCCAGCAGACAGGCACAGAGGAAATTACAGTAATTAGAGCCAGCAAGTTGAAAACTATGATTTGCTGTGAAGCTTTCACCCCATTACAGTGGATGGCTACTTTGTGCCTTCAGTGGCCACCTACCAGCTGATCTGCTAAAGGCTGCTTGGGGTCATGTACAATTAAGAAGCTGATTAAGTAGCATGCTGGAAAATGTCTTGTTATTTGTTATATCCAATGAAATAATCTGAAGGATTATAGGTACAACTCTCAGGAATTCTAAATTTAAAGTTCTTCACTCATTTTCCAAGTAATGTCATCCACAACAAACAAAAGCATTCTGTTTGGTCTGTACCTTTAACCAGTTTGCTAAATGCTGTAGTAAACACCCTTCTAAACAGGAAGTTCTATATCTTGTGATTAAGACAGTTCTGCAAATCCAAACATTTCCTAAGTTCCTCTTCCTTCAAGAAGATTCATTTCCACAGAGATACAAGAAATGGCATCTTTCAACAAATTTAAAAACGTGCTAATGCTGGCGTTTGACTGGATCCTGTATGGTGCTGGTAAGACTTTTCAAAAATTTCTTACATTTTCTCACTTAACAGCAGTTAAACAAGACTGAGAATTTTGTGGTTATGGTTTGCAGCACAGTTACAAAAGAAAAGCAGTGAAAAGTTTTGCTGAAAATCTGGTTAATTTCTGCTGTTGTCATGTAACTTCCAAGGTACACAACTGCTAGCAAATGCCTTTTTCTTCCCTGAAAAAGAGAAGAAAAAGTCTGAAACGCTGCTGTAACCTGTAATTTCTGGGTCACTTGGAACACTCCAGCAGCAGCCTGGTTTCAGAGCACTGTGTGTGTTTGGGTGGAGGGTTTGGGAAGTCCAGCAGGCAGCACCTGTGACCTGAGGCCATGGAGTTCTGCCCTGCAAGGACACCAGAGCCCCTGGAGAAGGTGGAAATGAAAGGGATCAGCTGCAGCAGCACAAGCTCTGCCTTTCATCACACAGGCTGCAAGTACACCCACAACTCACAGTCTTCAGCTTGCTGTAGCTGCTGTGGAATGGCTCTGCTATGGACCTGACACAGAATCACTTTCACTTTATTCCTGTACAAGGCACAGCCACTGAATCTGATTTGATTTAGTGACAAAAAGGATGAAGAGACAATGCTAATTGTTCACCATAGGCAGGTTTACAAATTGTGTCTCAGCAGTACACTAAGAGATGTCAGTTTATTTATCTTCTAGTTTGTTATTTTCTGGCAAGCAGAAAAGGATGTTATTTAGGTACTACCTTTATTCTCACTGCAATAAGCTCAATGCCACAGTTTAAATAACTACACTATTTATTTGAATAAAATTAAATATATTAACACAGAATTCACATGGATTTCAATAAAGACTTAAAAAAAATCTTCCAGACTAGTCATACTAAACCACACATTTTAGTTCCTTAATTAGAATGCTCTTTTCTGATTAACCTTCTTGTTTTCTCTGCACACAGTTTTAAATGTCAGGACTAACAAGCACTATTATTCTTAGAAACCTAGAGTCAATATATGTGATGAAGTGGAAGAATATCTAGGAACTATTGTGAATTCTAATCAATGTCATGAAGTTGCTAAATTATAAATGTCTTGATTTATGACATTTCCACTGCCTGCCCTCAGCTTGTCTGGTTTGACTCAGACCAGGAACAGTGGAGGAGAGAGAAAGCCCTGCAGAACTGCTCCCCTGAGCAACTGCACTGTGTCCCACAGCACCCACCCCACTGGCCAGTACCCCCACAAACAGCCTAGAAACTGCACAAAGTATCCAGTGCCAAAGGAGAAGACCAGACATGCCCATTGCTTTGGATCTATCAATCTTCCCTATTTTGTCAAAAAATAGAAAGCCAAGCACTTTACCCTGTAGATAAAAGTGTTAAATGAGCACATGTGCAAGCTGTAGAACTATCTAAAAACAAAGTTTGCTGAAAACAACTGTAATCATTTCAAGTTTGAAACACAGTTGTTTTCTTCCTTTCTGCCCACCTTTCCCAGAATGAACCAAAAGCAGTTGTTTTTCCTTTTCAGACTGTACCTGGCTTTTAGCTGTCCCTGCCATCACCAACTGTTCCCTCCCAGCAGGTGTTGCAGGTCACTGCCGCGTCACTGTGGCCCAGCCCCGGTTTCAGCAGGCTGACTCCTCCATGAACGTGTCCCTGCCCTGCTCCTTCTCTGCCTCTGGATGCTCCTCAGCCCAACCTGAAGTTCTGTGGTTTCGCTTTTTAACTAACACACATCAGGGTTTGTGTACTCCTGACTGCACAGATCATCACAAGTATAAAGTACATTCAGAAGGAAATAACATCTTTCTTCAGATCAAAGATCTGGCTGAAGATGACAGCGCTGTTTATATCTGTGGAATAGCATTTTCAGACTCATCACCCCTTTCGAAACAAACAGGAGATGGAACAGTACTAACAGTAACAGGTCAGTTGATTATTCCTTTTTAATGAAGCATCTTAGAAGAAATAAATTATCTCTTCTAAATACTCTCTTTATACTTTCAAGAATGACATTTAAGATGGAAATACCAACAAACCCATTAGGAGTAGTATGGCTATATTAAGATGGTATAAGTAAAGCCAGAGGGATTCCACAAATAAGCATCTCAACCTCGTTTGCTAATTAGGCTGTTCTGTCATATGATAAAGATGACTCTAGAGTTCTACAAAAGAAAGAAGTTTTGCACTTATTGCTGTCAAACCACACTTTACATCCTCTTACAGAAAGACTTTTGTGGCTGTCAGAAAGAAGTATCTACTAGAAAATGGGAAGTAGAGAAACCAACATTTAGTAGAAGTTGCCAAGAGAGTGCAGGGCCTCAGACCTGGGGATTCACACTGGCAGCCTGAGAAAAATGCTCCAAACCTTTCTATCACTGGCCTCTAGTTAAGACAGTGATGAAACTTTAGTAACATTTCAGTTTTACATGCCTAAAACAGAAAAAGAAAAAAAAAAACAGAAACACTCAGTTGGATTATTACTTACTTTATATTCCTTCCTTTCTCTAATTCCATTTCTGAACAGAAGTCTATGAGTTTTATTCAGATATACCTTTACAGGAACAGAACACTGGATGCCATTCTCTTTCTACCCCTATAGGAAAGGTTTATAATCAAAACTAACAGGTCTCCATTGCCCTTGCAAACATATGAATGAACAAAAGGAAAATTATCTCATTTAGGAATTTAGACTGAAAATTACCCAGAAAAATATTGCTGGTAGATGGTTTTTTAATTCCTCAGAGAAAGGGGGTTGGAATGCAGAGTCTTAAAAAAATTAAGTGAATCAGAACTGCCCTTTATTCTAACACTCATTTTTAATAAAGGATCAGGAAAGCAGCTCAGCCATGGAAAACTCATCTCCATGACCATTGCTTCAACTTTACTGTTCCTGTACAGCTCTGCTGTGCTCATTTCCTTTGTGGTCTACAAGGTAGGCTCAGAGTGGTTTTCTGGTTTTGTTCATTTGTAAATCAATGCAGTTTTAACATCTCCATGAGGGGAATAAAAACACATTTCTAACTTTCATAACTATTATGGTTAAGTTTTAAAGAGGAGGTTGGTTGAAGTCCATGTGCTGCACACACATCTGTGAACCCCTGTGTGGCACATACCTGGACTCTCAACAGGAACTTTAGTTTACTTTCTTCAGTAAAGTGTCTAAAATAAAAGGTATTCTGAAGTTAAAATTATCCTGAGAGTATAAATTTCCAGTAAAAGTATAATAATTTAAATTCATGTAAAAGTATTTATGAGCTGCAGTAAAGTTACTGCAGACTGACCTCTTCATACATGTACAGAAGGGAAACCTTAGTAAAATTTAAAAATATCAGAGACTTGGAAAAATTTTTATGCTTACAGAAACAAACCCATTAAAATGCACATGGTTAACAGTTATGTAATTGTTGGGGTTTTTTTAAAATCTAGAACAAAATTTGTGTTTAGATAAAAACAGAGCTACAAAGGAATCTTTACATGATAATGAGACTTTGACAGGAGAATCAGGATTTCACAGTCCTTACTGGTATGATATGGTAAAATGATTCCTTCCTGTAGTGATTACTGTCTGAGCATAAAGACAGGACTAGCTTTTTCATTTTTGTTTTTCTTTAGAAGTGAAGGTACAGAGTGAAAAATACAGTGGGAAAAATTCAACAAGCTTTCTTCAGGGGAAAAACTGGATCTGTGATGCCATTGGTTTATTTTTGAGAATTAAGTAGTGTTTCAAGCAGGTCCCACCATGCTCAAAGCAAAAACACTTGCAGTATCTACTACCAGAAACTGAAAAAGGCTTCACATGTGAAAATCTCTGTTTTTTCCAATGGTATAAGCTGACCTAGTGAACACTCACCTACAAACTGACACTGCAAAAGGGCAACAATTTTAACTACTCTGCTAACTTCTCATCTTGTATTTTAATTGCTTTTTTCCCTCCCTCCAGTTAAAACCAAAGCTCCAAAAGAAAAGTGGGAAAGACCAAACAACAGAGAACTGTGTATGTTACCATGTTATTTGCTTTGTCTGTGAGTCAGAGCTTCTTCTTGTCTTTTTGAAGTATATTTGGCATCAAATTTGTGATTAATTGATGATTCCATTAAAGAGACATCTGAGCTGCTAAGGCTTCGCTTTATATTTGTACAAAATTAGTTATCAATTAATATTGAACTAATTTTAACAAATCAGGTAATTTATTTTTAACACATTGGATGCATGGTAAAGTTAATCTCTGTAAAGGCCATCTCTAACATGCTGCTTCCTTCAGGTTTTAAGAAAATTTTGTTCAAACCTCTGACAATAACAGGTTTTGCTATCAATCAACAACAACCTCCACCACTACATATCCTTGTATGAAAATCAGAATCCATGCATTTAAAGAGCCATTAAAGAAGGTGTATATGTTAAGTAATGTAATAATAATGTAATTAAAAAACCTTTGTTTGCCAAACTGCATGTTTTTAAAATGCTACTTAGTAACAATCCCAAAGACATATCCAGGTAAAAAAACCTAATTTAGAAAAGGTAGAAAAATATGTTTTCTCCAACTCAAAATATTGCACTGAATTAAAATATTTTAAATTATTTGCAGAAAATAAATAGCGGCCGAAAAATTTTTCAAGCAATTGCTCAAGAGCTTCAAAAGCAGAGATATGCTCAACACCAACAACAGCCTGTGAGTACCCACCCACCAAGACCTAAATTTATGGGGGAAAAAGGAAACCAGAAGGTTTTAGGAGTTTACTGTATCTATTTCCTTTAAAGTTGATAGAGATGTAAAAAACGTATTCTGAGTGACAGTCAAGGACATTATAAAGCATTCTAAATAGCCAGATGCATACAATTACATATATTTATACATGTATAAATGTACACACACCCCTTTTTAAATGTATGCTTGTGCATTTAAAATTAGAGCTGCCATAAATTTGCATTTTGCCAAGAAGAGGTCTGGTTCTGTTTGGTAAAATGCCTGGAGCTGTCAGGAGGTTATGTTTGCAAAGCACTCAAGTTCTGCTTCTTCAGCTCCTCTTGCTCCATTAACCCAGAGCAGGGGACACAAACACAACAAAACTATTGCAAAAGCTCTGTGATGTATTTAAAGGTATTTCCCTTCCTCCAACACACAGAGCCTAAACTAAGTATTCAACATCATGGGGTAAAGCCACACAACTCATTTCAGCATTCTAAATTTAAGCCATTAAGTCTTATATGACAATAATTTTACACATCATGTAACTTATTAAAAAAAAAAACTCAACAAACAAAACCAAACTACACATCTTTAGAACTCACACATATTTGCAAGCAAAGAAAATTGCTTAAAAATCTTGCTTCTCTTGAGAAACAATGTTAATTCTTTCCTATTCTGAGCACAGAGATCATTCAGAGATGCAAGGAGGAACCAAATGACACACAGACCAAAGTCAAGCACTTCTCCTATATACATTTCACCTCATTTATTTCCATACAGCTCCAATCACTTTCCTGTGTAATAATCCCTTTAAAGCCTTCCAGTCCCTGCTGACATGACCTGCTCCTTGGTTTGACCACCAGATATGAAAATATGGGCTGTGTTTTACTGCCCCTGGAGATTAGGAAAAGCCAACAGGGTAAGAAACATGTTCTGAAGACTGTAGATACCACATGGACAAAAATAACTGGACAAGAGGGGAGAAAGGATTTTACTGAAACACTAAAGGGATGGAGCTTGCCTCAAAAAAAAAATTCTGCCTTTATTAAAAAAAAACAAAACAGCTCAATAACAAAACACTTCTGTCCCTAGGAGGATTTGGAGGATGACACTGTTTATCAGAACAGATGAGCACGTGCAGCACTTCAGATTTGTTCAACACTTCTCCTGCATGCAAAGGAGCAGGTGAGGAAGTCAAGCTTCTCCACAGACTTCTTTGCTTCAAAGGAAGAGGAGAAAACCTTGCAGGGCAGTGTTCTTCAGGAGTATTTTCTAAACAGATCACCAAAACCAAGTTCATTGTACCTTACATCTGTGTAACATATTCCATTTTTCATTTCCAAGAACCCTGAGAAAAGACTTCATCTTTGTAAGACAACTGCCGATGCTTTATTTTTACTTTAGATTTAATTCTTTTTTTTCCTGTTTATATAAACTTTTATGTATTCCTGTTACACGAAACAGGATGTGAAAGATGTTTGACAATTGACAGCAACAGAAAATAAACTCGTTTTGTGGATGAAATTCTGGATTTGCTCATGTTAATGGGGTAGTTATTGATGTAACATTTACAGACCAACAGTAAATGAGCCTTAGAAGAGTTTAAACACAGCAAAACCTGTGTATTAGACAGGTGAGCAGAAAACACTGACAATATAAACACTATCCTGGAAAAGCTCATTTGGGATGGGAGCATCTTCCAAACCTGTTTAGGAAAGTAACTGTCATTGTGCAAACACTGCTCCTCCAATACTAAAATTCACCTGCTGGGCTGACAACCCCCATCTCCCAGCCCCAGCATCCCAAGTCAGGAATACCTGGAGCACCACATCTTGCCTTTACAGACCTGTTCAACATGGACACAAGCACAAAAAAGAACCACACTATCCAGTGTACTTTTAAAGTACCTTTTCCAGCAGTTACTACCTAGCCAATCTGCAAAATCAGCACTTTTACAAGGTACCTGCTGGTATCAGGCATTTTCCATTCTAAAGAACAGCTGCAGCTTTTATCATAATTTACATAAAGCAAGGCTTTGTTTAACAAATGAAGTGGCATTTCTCACTTCTGCAAGATGAGAACTGACAACTGAGACAAAGCAAGGGTCCATCTCACACACTACTGTGTTTCCAGTTCAATTAATGGTATTTCAGGAGGACAGAATACACACCTCTGCCTTCTCATCCCTGCCAATTCATTACAAGGCTATGAACACACTCAACAAGGAAATGTCACACTCCCAGGCTCCCAGTGTTCACTGCTTCTGAAGTATGGTATGACATTTTATTCTAGAGAAACTTACACCAGTCATGTATTACCCAATAATGATTTTTTCTGTCTATATTAGGAAATACAGAGGATTCTTATATGACTCTGTGAGACACCTATTAAAAATGACGTTGTGGTAACACTTGTTCTTAGTGACTGGTCTAATACCTGATGATTCATCAGCATCTCTTGCCAGGTGAGACACCTGCAGTAACTGCATTCCTGGCTGTCCTGCATGTTGAAATACAACTGGAAAGCCCCAGAGAGAATTTATGACTGAGCTCCTCTGGACTCTAGGTGTCACTGTCATTCCACAAACAGTGAGCACAGATCTGTATTTAAATTTCTTCTCCACCTTGCTTTGTTCTCTTAGAGCAGGATTTATGTTATTCACATAGCTTCCACCATTGCCATCCTATTATACTGCATGTAATAACCCATATATCTCATTTTGATTAAAATAATTTCTCCACTTCAATCTATGGAATTATCATTGGATCAAACACCTTACCTGCCCCAACACTTTTCCATTTGTTCTCTTCCTACAAAATTAAAAAGTTTCACTACATGGGTCCAAGCTGGTTTTAACGAGCTGCTACAAGAAGTTACTTGAGCTGTGGAATGTTCTCCTCTTTGAATGTTCCAAGTATAATTTTGTTATATATAAAACATATGTACATATCTATTTTTAAAATGCATCATGTAGAACAGCTGAATGAAAATACTGAAATTCTAAAATGGTTTTTGCATCATGAAGACAGTCTGGCAGCTAATTGTCTGTTTCTTTAGCCCACAGTTAAATCGATCTTTAGTGGGAAAGCTGTAACTTTTGTGTGTGCTAACCTGCACAGTTAACAGTTTATATGGGCCCATATCCATAATTGTGGCAAATAGTGGCAAAGGATTTCCACAAGGAGAAGCCATATTGTTCCATATATAGGAACAACAAGTTGTAACCAAATATGCTTGAAATACTTTACAGATGCCAAAGTCAAACACCAAATCTAATTTAAGACTCTACTTTTCAAAATAGTTACAAAATTGCAAGCTCAAATACTGTATTATAAGTAATTCTTCACCTGATGGCATTCCTTCTTATGCTTATTTTTCTCCCTTCAGTTCGATGCATTTGTGATTGCCAGAACATGATTAGTTCTGTATTTTCTGGGCATCCATGCCTCCCCACAGACAAGTCTTAACACTCAAGGAGAACCAGAACAATGCCTGATGAACATCAGCCTCCTGGAATTCAAACCACCTTCAGGGTCCTTCAACCTGAATCCACAATCACAGGCATGTAAAGAGGTTCCTAGTCTCTTTAAAAGTTTAGTCATAAGGACAGATTCATCTGAAAATCTCATATATTTCTTTAAATTCCAAGTAGGGTAAATAATTTGGGCACTTAATTTTACTTTTTTATTCCCGTTATTAGTACAATGTAAATTCATACAATATTAATAGTGGTTGATACTTTGTATTTGTAGGGGTCCATATTTTACTTTGAGACCTCATGCTGGAAAGTGAAAGTTATCCTTCTATGGATTTTCAGGTGGGATTCATCTGGAACACTTGCAACAGCTTGACCTGAAAGGCTCTACTCAGCATTAGACAGTTCTGGGGGTTTTGCTCAACTGGTCACTAGAGAGCTGGGGTAAAGGGGCCCTAATCAGGGACCAGTTTTCCCAAGTTGCTCCAACACAGCTGAAATGTGCTAACTTGCAAAACAGGATCTGTGACTTCAATATTTGAGCTTTTTGTTGGTGTCAACAATGTATTCTGTGGAGTTAAAAAAACAGCTTACATCCTGTGGCCTGTTTACCTATGACTTCATACTTCTGAACATGCCCTCTACTCGTTATTAGTAAAAAATCAAATACAAACATGTCTTTAATGAAACACTTAATCTGAGGATACTAGATCCTACAAATGTTTTCTTTACCTGCCTAAAGAGCTGTTAATCTGTGCACTTACCATTTTCCACATAGGGGTGAAAAGGCAGAACCAGTGCTAGGATGACTCTGCCTCTGGTTGGCTCCAGTACACTCCTAATGTCCTTTAATACAGTCAGTGGCTGATCACAGCGATCCAGCAAATTCAGACAGCTGATAACATCATACTGAAATCCTGTGTTCTGCCATTCATTCACACCAAGCACCCTGGGAAAGGAAAAAGAGATACAATCTGTTAAATAAAAACAAGCTGATTTCAGACACAACTACTGAAGAGAAAAATTCCCTGTGGACGCACTGATAGTGCAGGTAAGGTCAACCATTTAGAGACAGACCTGATCCTTCTGCTCTTTTGGAAAAGGAAACTAAATCAATGATCAGCATGGCTGCATGTCCAGCCCTATGAACCTTTACACTGTCTGATAAACATCAGGTAATAAAGGAGACAAAAACCACCACTGGTAAGAGGGATCATCACATGTGTTTGGTTTTCTGCTTTTGTACAGGCTAACCTTTTGCATAACAATCAGACAATAAAGGAATTGACTGAAAATACTGAACATTCATTAAATTACAAATAGATTGCTTGCTGTAATTTCTGATATAAAGGATGTAGGAATTATTCAGTCAATACCTGTATTTCTTCTTCTGAAGCTGCCATATCATCGTTTCAGACAATTCAGTGGCATAGATTTCTTCAAAGTGAGGACTCATAACTTTAGTGACTTCTCCATCTCCAGCCCCTAAATCAAGAAGTCTGTGGGATTTCCATTCAGGATTTATTTTAAGCAGTCTTTGAAATTGTTCTGGGGAAAACACAAACATTGAGCCTCTTCCCAGCAGCCTAAAATGTAAAACAAGAAATTATCAATTTTGTACAAACTTTAATGGACAGGCAGTGAAGAAATTTAGAATGTGCTTTGGCAGGAACCAGTCATACATAATAGTAGACAAGGTCATTGCTCAGATAAATTTTAAATCCAGTTCAACTTGCCTTGCATTTGTAAGAGATCAAACACAGAGCCACAAGCAGTTACAGTGGTTAAGACTCCAGAAGGAATTTGATTAGGTAAGGAAGAGCTCATGGGGTGCAGCTCAAGAAAATGATTGCATTATTAAAAAAAAAAAAGGGGGAAGAGAAAGAGTAGGAAAGATAAAGACTGAACCTTATTTGTCACATCTGCAGATTTGAATCTCTGCTACCTACCTTAAAAAAAACCCAACAGGATGAAATAACAGAGGAAATAAAATGGCTGCAGACACAGAAGTATGCACAATGAATGAGGAATAGGATATGGAATGAGGAGGGAAGACAGAAAACAGATTTAAAGAAAGCATGGGGGCAACGCTGCTGGAGGGGCAAAAGAGATTTTTAAAATTCTGTGTTACAATGGCTTTTGCTGCTGTCTGCAGATCCTGCATTCAACATGAAAAGCTATGGAACAGAAAATAGACAACTCATTAAGGAACTGGGTAGAGGCGACAGTTGGATTCCTTATGGATCAAGTCAATGCCATACCCGCCCATAACTGTTTGAAGACTACACAGTGACACGTTCCAGCTGTCACAGCAGAATTCAATGATGAAACAGTTACAAGAGCAGGCAGAGGGAGAAGAACTGGTCACTAATAGACTGCAGGTAGATAAATACTATTCTTTAAACTCCTGTTGGATAGCAGGTTAAACTTAAAGACAATGAACAAGGAAAAAAAGCAAACAGGAAAAAACATAAACAAAGAGACAAAAAGACTCAAAGAATAAAAAATGTGAAAAGGAGCTGGCCTAGCAAAGACTGAATACTAAAACTGAAAGAAACAAAAAGGACAGAGTATACAAAGTCATAGAGAAGAAACTAAGCAGGATATCAAATGTATAAAAATAAACACACTACATCCAATTTAAGTAGAGCCCCCTTGCAGCACACATGTGTCAGTCCACACTGTATAATTGGCTCATAGCTATTATTCCTAACAGCATTATGAGGTGTTATTCAAAGCCCTGAAGAGCCTTTGAAAAAAAATGGAAGAGAAAGGAAGAAGAGACCAAAGGAACCTTTATATAAAGCTACACATAACTAAGAACACCACAGGGAAGCTCATAAAGTCATCTGAGTAGAAAATAAGGAAAAAGACTATTTTTCTAACCCCAGTAGACAGCTCCTATTTTGTATCAGACTGTGCAGAAGTATGTAGCAGGTGCAGAGGTGGGGATACTGGAGAATTGGCTAAATGTAACAAAATACATTTTTCATAAGGTCAAAGCTGATAAGCTGTTAAATGTGTCTGAAGGGGGTAAGGTGAGCAAAAAAGAGCCCTGCCTTGTTTGAAAAAAATACTAAAGCACCCATGAACAGCCAAACTCCCCTGCAACTGGTGCAATAAGAATAGAAGAATGCTGTTTTATCAGCTTATGTTTTCCTGCTTTGCTGATGGTTCATAAGCCAAACATGATCCATCAGAAGTCACCTGTTCCAGGGCAGCTTGCACACAAATTGAGGTGGAATTTCTTTTAGGGAAAGGACAATATTCCACATTTGTGTTACCAGGCACAGCACTTGGCCAGCTTTGCAGTGCTTAGAAATGTGCCATGATTTGCCATGGACAGCAAACACTCTCCAGCAGGAAGAGTTTTAGGTACAATAATACAGAACAGTCTGGGTACAGCCACCAGCACAATCACAACAGTAACTGATAAAAATGGGGCAACAGGGAAAGGGCAAGGTGGGAGGGGGGAAGAAAGCTGAGGGAAGAGACACAAAGAACACTCTCTTAGGAGAAAATTAACACAAGTAATTGTTATAAAATGCAATCAGAATCCTCTGGCTGCCTTGTATTAATTGTATTACCTCCTATGTCCCCCCATACTGGAAATGGTGTTCACCACTAAGAGGGCTGGGAATGATGAACACAGGAGGGTGTTTCACATCTGACACAGCAGCAAAGGGAAATTTCACATTTTGAAAAGCTGGCAGATCAAGGGGTAGGGCTGAACACTTGAAAACTCTAAATCCAAACTGTATTTAGCTTACCCAAGATTGACTTTTCACTTACCCATTGATAGATGTTCTAGACATAAAAAGGCTAAAAATAGAGGACACAAAAGAGTGGTAGAGCTGGATAAACAGCCAGCCTGACTTCTCAATGCTGTTGTTTAAGAAGATCTGTGTTCCTTGGTCAAGGTAACTCTGGACAAAAATAGGCTGAAGGGATTCAGACAACTGTTCAGTGTTGCAGACATACCACTAGAGAAAGAGATAAAGGATCATTTTAAAAGTTCAGCAATGTAAGCCCAGAAGCAGTCAAAATTAATACATACAAAATTATCACCAATTTTCATAAATGCAAAAATTCAGCTTTTCCTACAGTCTTTCCAACAAACTTCAGGGTTAAATTAACTTAGAATTGTAACAAAGCGAGGACTGATTGCTTGCTAAGAAACAGTGGTTTTAATTTTGTCTTAATTACTACCCTGTACTTGGAAGAGATCTACAAGGTAAATTCCCTAGAAAGCCAACATAGGCAAAAGTTGTATTTAAAATTTTCAAATTTCTTTCTAATGAAGAATATTACTATTATTTTTCACTCTCCTAAATTTACATGGAGTTGGTGCCAGTCCTTCTCATAAAAAGCCATTGTGTCTACATTCTACCATTAAGAATTACTCTCTACAGCCAACACGCTCTCATCTCTCTCTTAAATCTTCCTTAATGTTCCTTAATCTGGCTGCATGTGCTCATTGTGCACATAGGGAGCTTTAAGAATCCCAAAGTGAGATGTAGAGTTTTAGCAGAACCTTGTAAAACATGCACATGGAAGCACAGAAACTGTCAGCTGAGGTAACTCCCCAAAGATTTAACACACTTGTGCTCAAACCCTGATCCCATCACATTTGTTTGCCTTGTTGGGAGTGGAACAGACACTGCAGGCAGGTTAACACAGCACTGACACAGTGGAACCTGGAATCATCACTGCACTGGGACAGGATTGTCACTGCAGCGTTTGCAGTGCCAGCAGCAGAGGGGAGCTCACAGCGCCCCAGGGCCCCTGTGCCACATTCACAACAGGGGCTCCATCAAACACTGGCCCACAGCAGAGAGGGGAGACCCCAAGGCCCCTCAGCTGAGCAGCAAACGTGCCTGCTGAGCTTTGCAAACCTCCTGCATTTCTGGCAGAATCAGGCTCTGGTCTGCACTTTCAAACACACTGCTGGGCAGAACGAGTGAGTGATCCTTTCCTCTGAAACCCAGATTCTGAGCCTGGCACAGGGATCCCCAAAACTGCTGATTCACCAGTTCAGGTCTCTTCTCACTGCAGCTCAGCACTTGTTAAACAAATCAGCATAGGCCAGTGATTCCCAAAAGGAATCCTTAGTGGCTCCTGAAAAACCACCAAAGCAGCAGCTTGTGTACTTGGTCCATTCGTTCAGAAGCCAATTCCAAGAGTGTGGCAGAGGCAAAAGATCCCAAGGAGCTGAGGAGCAGGCTGGGATGTGTCAGCTCCACTCTCAAGGCAGGTTTGGCGTGGCTCAGGTGATTTGCCTTTTGCAATGTGTTGCCAGGTTCAACCCAGAAGAAAACCTTCACAAAGCCTTGGGAAACAGAGGCTTTGTTCCATAAGCAGCATGACCACACCTGAGCTCATCCACCTCAGGGCTCTGCACTGAACTCTCACCTGCAGCTCCACTGAAAAACAACAGTCCTGCAATTCTTGTCTTTAAGACTTCTAAATATTGACACAACCACTGGCAGAAGGATGATGGTGACAACTAACAGAAGCTTGTTTCCAAAAACTGGGTGTTGTTCACAGATCTCCAATTTCTTCTTCCCAATATGGTTTAGTGGGTATGGTGGTATTTGGTCAAAGGTTGGACTTGATGATCTTAGAACTCTTTTTCAACCTTAATGATTCAATGATCTCTCATGGTTAATCTTGCCAATAAGGTTATTGACAACTACCTGTATAACACTGATGAATAACAGAAATTCTGACACATTATAAGAGAAAAAAAAAAAACCTCCCAAAAACCCCAATCTAAATTTCAAATTAAAAAAAAAGGTGAAAAGCAGCTTAATTCCAGAACTTTTTCCTCAGAACAGAAACTGCTTTTGTTTTCCTACACATACAACCTAAGAAAGGCCACTAGTTACGTGACAAAGTGTGTGTCAATCTCTTACGCATTTTCAGATTGTTGTACTAAGACCTTTGTTATAGCAAAAATTACAAACATTGCAATTCTTGCCTAATATTAGTAAAAGGATAAAAAAGTCTTTAAAATAATTTACATAAAACTAGTTAAGTCAGTAAAACCACAAAGTACCAGCAGTCTGAACATCCAACCCTTGCTTACCCCATAAACTCAGTAACCATAAATCTTACTGAATGTACTAAATAATCAATACCTGCATTTAAAATCTAGATCAAATAAAACAGAGATGAAGATTATCCACTGCAGACCATCTACCTGTGAATGACACAGGCACCTCCACAATACATTTCACTGACTTGTCTTTCTACTACAGCTTTTAACAACACAAAAGACTTCCAGATTTTCTTTGTTCACCAGAAGGAAGTTCTTCCTGTAAACCTGAATTCTGCTTCTCTTTGTACTTATGTCCTGAATAATCCCAACAGCAGACCACAAGCACTAAATTGCAGGGATGCATCCACCCAACAAGGTTCTGGATGCCCACCCAGAGCAGTAAGAAGGCTGCAGAAATGGATCAGCAGGAAGAATTATGGTCTCCCTTTGTACAGCAGTCCTCAAGCGCTTATACTACATCTTCGTTAGCTTGGTTCTGCATATTTAACCTAGATTAAGCTGCCAGCCTCCTTCTGCACTAAGACTTTTTATTAGCCCTTCTAACTCCTGTCAGATTTTCAGCAGCATTTCGCCAGAATATAGTGCGGATCTGAAGGTATTCCAAATGAAATCTATCATGTAACCATTGTACTGCAAGGGCACGGCCCCTAACTTCTCCACAAGGTACCGACCCATGTGGGCACACTGCCCTAACACAGCTCTAACCTTTTATCGCAGTCGGATCACACTGCAACAACTCATTCCCAGTCTGCCACCCCCTACTGCTCCAAGGCCTCTGTGGGAGTCTCAGCTTCCCACTTTTTTTTTGTTTTCCTCTAGACGCACCGGTGCTAATTACAAACACCTCTGTGATTACAAACCCACCCCCGTCAGCAGCACCTGCAAACTTCCCTGGAGCGCTCTCACAGGGCTCACCGGACAAAGATCTGTGTGTGCATTGAAAAAACCGGGGTGCACATCCAGAACCCGGGGTGCCCATCCAGAACCAGGGGCGCAGGTCAAGAACCCGGGGTGCCGCTCTCCCG